TGTGTCATTGATGCAATTATCCTAACAACATTTTGATCTCTTCTGTGATCAATTGCTGTTGGTTGGATATGATAAAAAAAATTTAAAATGCTGTCAATGGTGACATCATCCGTACATCTGTCCCCCAATAGATCATAAGAAAGAACCAATCAAAGTGCATGTTTAATTCAGTTCATCTTAACCCTTTAACTCCCCAAGATCTCATTAGTAATTCTCCTTACTGTCTGCAATACAATTCTGGTGATGTTAGTTTGGAGAATTTGGAATTGGAACAACCAATAATCCCCTAATTGATATTTTTCTTCATTCTCATCACTTGTCTGCTTGATATTGTACTTACAGTGTAAGGAGAAATTCTGTCTGGGTCACTAGTGGGACTTAAAGGGTTATGAGGAATGGGCATTGGTGGCAAGGTAAGAGAGGCCACCTAAACCCAAAATCACTGCTAAAGGACCTGGGGATGAGTAAGGATATTCTCTGGAACAAATAAGTTTCTAATCAAGATTTTAAGGGTTAAAGCCAAGTGGAACTGAACAAATCAAGTTAGACTTCTGGTCATAAGTAGTATCATATTAGATACAATTATACTTCACAACATCATGAGCTCACTTAACTCTTTAACTCCCAAGATCTCATTAGTAATTCTCCTCACTGTCTGCTTAAAGTTCTTGTGATGTTAGTTTGGAGAATTTGGTATTGGATCAATTTATAATTCCCTAATTGATATTTTTCCTCATTTTCATCACTTTTCAGCATGATATTGTATTGATATTGTTAGGAGAAATTCTGTCTTGGTCACTCATTGGAGCTAAAGGGTTAAAGAACATAATTCAACTGTGTCACTACATTAAGCATACTGACACAATTTAAGTCTAAGTTTACTTTGTGAACAGGACTTGTGGGTTACTTTTGCAACGTTTCTGTACATTGCTTAACACTAGCAAGTAAAAGGGAATTTTTGTCAACAGAATCCTCCTAAAAAGCTCAAAAGTAAAAGAGAATAAGTTACTCACAGTATTTCTGTCATCAAATCTTTGGATAATTATAAAATATCTTTAGTTTTCTAAAAAGTAAAACCAAAAAATTTGTTACATCAGAAATTTAAATATCTTACAGCAATTACCCCCTATTTACTTATAAGACATTTTTTACATTTCCTTTGAGTTGTGGCATATTTTAATAAACCTCCTGGATAAAACATTCAGGAATACTGAACACCAAATTGTGTAGAAGTTGTTTTTCATTCAACTGCTTTCATCACATGCAATCCTTAGAAACAATTAATTCAAGCATAGCCAACCTGTTAAACTGTCCAAATAACCATACAAAATCACGAGGTATTTGTACATGAGTAGTGCGTTATTTGTACTCAACTTAATGCAGTTGGAAAATAAAAATAATTACGATATTCTCTACTCAGTAAAGGTAATACTGTTTCTGATTTAACATAAACCTAAATCCTGTTGGTCCCAGAGTTCCACTGTATTCTTTTTATATGCCATAAAATAAGGTTTGGTTGAATCAGACCAGTTGTTCTCCATTAGATATTAGGTATTTTCTTTACTCAATGATTTACATCTAAATCTCTTTGTCAGAGGTGTCATCAAATCCTAACATACACTTAAATGTAATCAACAATATAAAATCAAGAATAGAATAAGCTTAATTGTATTCATTTGGTAAACATTTGGGAAAATTTTACAATATGCTCATTAAATGTGAAGCAGATTTAGAAAATCAATCTCACTACTGACATGTACATTAATGCAAATTCAGACAGGTTTTCTGGTATGACACTCAACTTGGTTCAAGAGGGGGGCATTGGAATTTTTGGTTAAAAGTTTGGGTAACAGTTTCTCTTCGATCTGAGTGGCAATTACACGCCTCCACTGATCTCGAATTGCAGTTAAATGCAAATGTTATCAAGAGGAATGCATGACAAACCAATTAAAATATCGCAGGGATCCCCAGGTAGTCTACATGTAGCCATACCCACTCCCTCCCCCAATGTGAGGGGGAGTGGAGGGTAAGGGTACACACAATAGGATACAGCTATGCACGGAATATTGCCAGAGTTTCTTTATCAATGCCACCTCGAAGTTAGTAACCAAGTTACAGGCCACATATGACTGATTGATTCAACATTCCTATAGAATCTCCAAACTTTCAGGTCTTACTTCACAAATGGAAATGTTAGATTGGGGATTTTCTATGAAACTTTCCAGAGCAGCTATAGCTTTTAGCAACTGCAAAATTGCAATCCTATAGAGGACTTTTGTGCAAATTTCCTTAATTTAACTAGGCTCCATTTCCAGCTGCTGAGTCCATAGAGACCATGCTCGAGGTTCTCAATAGAGCAGCTGTTAATTTAAACAGATACTAGAAGATACAAATGCCAAGTCCATGGCATTCATAAATCCTGCAATGAAATTAGTGTAGCTAACTCTGTATGCTCCACTTGTCACCACTGTATCAGATCCATCAGGGTTTTTATAATTGGGAAGTGAAAATGTATTGGTTTTGACAGTTTCGCATGCAGTTTTCAGTTTTGATCAAATTTTTTTTTTGCTTTTTGGTTTTGGATAATTTTTTTCTACAGTTTTGCAGATTTTAATAGGCCCCAATGCCCCTCTCATTCAACTATAAGACTGAAAATGATATGTTAAATTATTTTACAATCATTTACCCTGAAAAGCACATATTCTGAACACAATCAGTGTTGAGATTTTCTTCTGTATTTTAAATAAAGCTTTTTGAAGTATCAAAGGAGGATCAAAATCAATGGAAACTTAATAGTGAAACAGATTTCTATCCAATATCTCCAACACTCAGTGTACAACACCTCAGCCTCCCAAGCTAAATAAATAAATATCAGAAACTTACAAAAGCTTTGCAAAATTATGTAGAAGTGAAGAAATCAGTAATTTCATCTCAAAAGCCAAATTTCAAAGGTTCAACATCATATGCTGCTAAAAAGAAAGGTAACATACATGTTTAAGAATTAAAAATAACTGAACAGATAATTTGAGGAAGTAGATCTGTATAGTATTCACAGAAGTGGAGTTGTAAAAATAAGAATCTTCAGAAGATGATGTTGTCTTACAAAAACTTTTCCCAAAGCTTGATGCAGAGTTGCTATACCTATAAAGAAAACAGTTGATCTTAATTTCAACCCAAGAAAACTAAATAAATTATAAAATCACACAATATCTAAAGAGTAATTCTTCCCTTTTATTGCTTCACATTTCCTTGTGAATTAGTTGAAAGAGAATTTGGTTAACCCTTTACCTCTCAGAAGTGATTTACATGTCACATCTCCCTACAATATCTATGCATTATCCAGCAAACAGGTATTGAGAATACTCAAACTCATCAGGTAGAAGATATTACCTTCATCAAACACCAAATTCTTGTAAAAATTATCAAGGAAATGTGTAGCAGCTAGAGGGGACAATTAACAATCAAATCTTGGGAGTTAATGGTAAACACCGTAGATCTACATCAAAGTAGCTGATAGGATTGTCTTGTGCACTTCAACTCTTTCAATTCCAAGAGTGACCAAAAAGTAACTATAGGTAAAACTATTACTCATCTCAAATAAACAAATCAACACATATTATCCACCAAGTCATGAGATCAGTTACTAATGATTTACCCATGAATTTTTGAGATAGATTTCAATAATTAACATATAAAAATAATCATTTAAACCCTGCATATATCATTGTGCCTTCTATATCTAACCAAAGCAAAAATATTCTTAACGATTTTTGAGTTTTGAAAGTGCAAAAAACGTTTTAAACCCAGCTAAATAGTTTGTTGCCTTTTATACAATGAATCAACTATCTTCTGTACAGCATCTTTGTGTTGCCTAGAAACTACATTTCTTTCAACCAGAAAGGAGAAATTTTTATGTATATTAATTACAATAATATCAAATTCCCTGCACATAGGGGGATACAAATAAACAAATATATCGGGCACACTATATTTCATTAATAAAGGAGTAAGTTTCTAAAGAAACTGCGGTGCTACATCGGCGGGAGAGTAGCTTTGAAACTCTTAACGGTGACCGATTTACGCAATCAACTCAGTTGATAATACCAAATTACCTTCGTAGACCCCATTTACATAACTAAAAATTTTCTTTATTAGATTAAGAAGAAATGCACAGCGGTTCTAACGGAGAATTGCTAAACAGATCTTAGGATTTACCTGTTCTTCGTCGCAAACTCTCGCAGCGCTTCCACCGACTAGATCATCATAAGGTGGCGGTGATGAAGATTCCACGTCCAAACTACTGTCTAGCGTGACTGCATCATAAGCAGGAGGCGGTATTTGAGGACGAGAAAAGCCAATAATTGGATTTAATGTCGGACTGGTTCTGTTCAACGCAAACGTTTCAACTCCGTTACGTGGAGGTGAAAATAAATTTACACCATGGCCCACCTGGGTAGAAGCAGAATAAACTCCTCGGGAAAATCTTTGTCTCCTACGTTTTTTGTAACAGCGATACGAACCATAACTAACAGCGACAACAAAGATCAAGACACCGAAAACGGTTCCAACTATGACGAATATGCGTTGATCAAAATGAAAGCTTACTTGAACATTCTCTGAATTTTCAGGAGTAACAGGTCGCGGAGCTGGCTTGCATTGACCAGATTCGCATTCTTCATCTTCAGGACAGTCTGTATTATAGCTACAAAACGCTGGAAAACTGATATCCGGATTCTCACAGCGATTACGATAACAAATCTTTCCACCATTGCAAGTATCGTCCGAGATGCAAGCATCGGGACAATTCCACCATGGTTTGCAAGCACTTGAACAACAAATGATCCCTGCCGACGAGTTTTTTTGATCACATTCAAAGTTTTCAGTACAAGCAAGGGCAAATAGTTCCAGTTTGAGAAGGCTCTGGAGAAATGCCAAACAAGTTATAACACTGAAACCAAAGTACATGGCGCTTTAGTACAATGTACAACACTCGCACAATCCTGGATGCTATCGTTAGCTTCCCGTCGGGATCTGGTGCGAGTAGGCCTAGAACCCATGCCTAACACTTGACAGATAAATTTACAGCGGATCATCGAATCTCCTCTCGACAGCGAAACAGTAAAGTTTTCGATTCCACGGCAATACACCCGGAGACTTGAGTTCCAAGCCTTTATATACCGTAAAAAAAGGAAGGGTACGCCACACTATTTTTGAAGATTATTGATTAAAATTTTATATCCTTTTCCTTCAAACTCATTGTGTCATTGCAATTGTGGTAAATAACCATGGTGTAGGTGATTAGAGACATCGTGTAGACTCTCACGTTTTGGGGAAGCCCCTTGTTGCATAACCTTCATACAATATCAAGAAATAACCTTATGCTTGTCATCCCAACTTGACAATCGAACACCAAAAAATTACTCATTCTATATAGGGGTGTATTTCTGTGAAATCTCTCGCTCAACGAATGCTGTACCGCAGTTAGTTTAGGGAGCTTCTTCAAAATGACTCAAAAGTTAAACTTGATCACGAACATGACTTTTCCAACGTCCGCTGCCAGAGCTAGTGCGTCATGGGACGTTTTTTGCTTATTGATATTGTTAATTAATCAAATCATGATTACTATTACCAAGAGTTTGTAATCTCTTGTTACAATACTTATTATTGTTATTATTATTATTATTGCTTCATGCATTGATCAGATAGGATCTTAAGTTGTAAAATGTTTGCATTTTCACAAAAATGTAGGTTTTTCAAAAACCTACCTATGTGTGCATCAGATGTTATTTCTTTTTAATTATGGTTTATTACATCACGATCCCACAAGCTGCGAAGCTTCAACCCCATCGTGTGTAAATTAAGGTTTCACTCACTTACTTACACGGATCGATCAGTTTTATTTACGAGTTTCGATGCATCAAAAATACGAACTAGAGGGTTTATTGGTGCATGGCAACGAGTGGACAAAAATCATTCAAGCACTTTCCATGGTATGATGCTTTTATTGCATACACACTAAGATTTTTTCCTACAGAACGACACACTCGAAAGATTGGAAGCAATTTATTATAAACACCACCAAACCCGAAAGGTGGCGCCATATTTAGTCTCAGTTGACAACTATATATATTTTGTATTTTGTTATTTGTTTTTACACTAATTTGCCAACGGGGAATCTTTACTTTTGAAAACGAAACATAGATAATTCATATTTTTAAAATTCAATTAATGAATGGCATCTCGAATCGCAGATGCTTACAATTATGACGTATGAAAACTTGCAAATAAAATTGGACAACCTCAGCTTAGCAAACCTGCGAGTTTTCTCAAACGCTAAATCATTGATGATACTAGCTTCATAGTTTTTTTTCTGTTTGAGATATCGTTCAAAGCTGACAATCACTCCCCGTAATGGTGTGGGGTTGTAGTCATCTCCATCTTTGGTTCTAACAGTGAGCACGCACTTGCTCAGCAATTCATTGAGTTGAGCTGGAGGTATTTCTTCAACGTTCCTGAGCTCTACCTTCCCTTTCAATAAAGGTTTTTAGCGGGCATACGTCCCTGTTGGTCTTTCCTCTTGTGTTTTTGTTTTCTTGCTCATCTATGAAGTCATTTCTTGTTCTTTTAAGACGAGAAAATCTTGGCATCTCTTCTTCCATTTTGTTTTTTCAGGAAGCCGAGCGCTAGTTGTCCTCTACTGTGAAGAACTGTCATTTGTGTCTTTGATTGGACGAACGATGTATTTTCATAGTTGCTCGCTGTTCTGATTGGTTGGTTGGATATTTCGTACGAATTTTACGCGGGCTTTTTATTGATGTGTAAATCTCAGTATGTATGAAATAAAACCTATTTCAACCATGTCAATGGTGATGGCGAATATGACTAATCCGTTTGTAAGCATCCTTCATGACTCAAGAAACTGCAAGTAGACGTGATTATGGCAAATCGTGAGTCCACGGATCATTCCGCTACACGCGCGCGAACTAACCCAGACACTCTATAATTTGGAGTGCATCTGGAAACCCACGCATTAATTTTGGCAAAAACATTCGGGAGAAACGTGCGCGACTAAACACGGATTGGTAACTCTCCAAGTTGGGCCGTAATAAGCAGCATGGCATCACGCAAGCTGAAATACTGTGTTTAGTGAATCAATTATTTAATTGGGACTCTTGAGATCTGAAAAACTCATTCACAGCCTTCGCCTCCTAGTTTGCCGGCCTGAGCAAACTGAAAACTGAAGATTTTCTGTGGTTCTGTGGTTAGCAGACTCTTAAACCAAGATTAACGCCAAAAGACATCTTTCCTCTTCTAACCGGCTCTAAATACGATTATACATTTCTGGAGTGTTTTTAGAGCTACACTGTTTACGTTTTGTCACAACAGCGCCAAATAATCACTAGATATTTTTTAAAATGCTCAAGATGAAAATTTTATTCATTGTCATACAAATATAATTTTGAGAAATTTATGACTTCATCTGTGGCATACTGAGCCGAGCTTAATATGGCGTAATATGCACTTATATTAGAGGTGAAATATTGGCCCCTTACGAGCGAATATAGAAATACATTTCTGAAAAACAACTAAATTTTTTCTAAAGCGATGCTTTTAATTTAAATCGGTCGTAACCAGCAATCTACTGAACTCAAACAGGGATCTAAGCTCCGGTTACCGAGTTTCGAATTTATTACTTGTATGCAGATTCTGGAGTCTGCCTTTGAATAAATCGTACACGCTTTCGTCGTTATAATACTTTTCTTTTATAACCTGATTTGATCAAGTTGTAAGGCATTTTCATTTTCTTTTTAGGACACCTGTATTATTATTGAAATGGAAACTCTAATCTGTTGGCGCGTCCGTGATAAATTATTCCCAATTTCTCTTTCATTATTTTCCTTTCTGTAACAGCTGATGGTATAAGCAACAAAACTTGGCAGTCTTGGCATGTTCACCAATTTATTTATCTATACTAGTTTTATAATCTTTTCCGAGGCTGCGTGCGATAACGCTGGACTTATCAGTCGCCTAATTCATTATCATGTCAAAAGAAAGTTCTAGTTTGTAAACCAAATGAAAATATAAAAATAGATGAAGATTAATGATTTCGACAAGTTTCACTTCTGTGTTGCGCTAAACGGCCGACTCTTACTTCAAATGATAACCGCAGGTTTAAATCGCAGATTTAAGAGCTTCGTGGTTTGGAAATTGATTAAAAAACACGGCATAATAACATGCAATATCTACCTTTGCGTACGTTGATTTTTATCGAAACCATCCTCGAGAACCACAGGCACAAAAAAAAAGCTGCGTTATTAACCAACAGTGTGAGTTTTAATCAATAACGTGCTAATTCGCACGGAAATATGATTGTTACGAGCTTTTCATGCCTGAAACTCTAGATTTTCTCGGTTTATTGCTTTCCATCGACGTTAATCGCGTTTCGCCGTTGAAGGCAACTAATCAAGTGAGTTTTCAGCTCTTTTTGACGGCGCAATAATTATTTCCACCAGCCAGGTAAACACAGCTGTTTTCACGTCGTTTTCTAAGCCTTCTCTAATTCGTCGTCTTCTTCGTCTTCCTCGCGAATTGGAGCCAAAGCAGGTCCGCCGGTTATAATAGAAATTAAAGCTTCGTCTTCTGCATCAAGTTCTTTTGAATCTTTCCCTTCTTTGACCGGGAAAGCCTCACTTTCAGCACCTACCAAAGCGCTTTTTGCCGCGCTATCGGCGTCTTCGCCAAGGTGGTGAACTCTCTTTAATTTGCCTTTGGCAACTCGTGTTTTCATAGAATGCCTTTCACTTTTCATTCTGCTCAAACAACAGCAGAAAAGGCAAGAGAATATGAGCACGCCGATGATTGTTACAATTGCCAATAGTGCCGGGTTCAATTTTGAGGGTTTATTATTTGTTACGCAGCTTCCGTTGCGACATTTGGCAGGTTTCGAACATTCAAAATATGTTACACAACGCCAACTTGACTCAAAATCGTTATGAGACATTGATCTGTTGAAACAAGGTAACGACCGAAGACACTCACAGAATCCACTGATGCATCCGAGGTTGTCTGCCAAGTTATCGCAATCCGCCTGTTCTTGACACTCAATTTTGCAAACTCCGACGCAAACGTTACCGCAACATGTTTGCGAGTTAGGGCATTTGTGGTCTTCGGAACAGGTAGGCAATGAATCCAGTGCAACTTCACATACCATCGACAGCAGGGCTTGGAAAAAGACTGTCACTTTAATACACCTCTTCATGTTGCGAGATCAAACTGCTCTGTTTTGGTCCCCCCATAAAGATGGTGAAGTTATTCGTTTTGGTAAACACACTCGGAACTTTGCTCATTTACACACTACCTCGACAAGTGGTAACAATGCCACGAGCACGACTCGCAGGTGTTAATAACAGGAAATAATAGATATGCAAATATAATGTGCTTATCAATCAGCGCTGTTCTACTGTTGTTGTCTCAAAATGGGTTTCGGAAGCACGATGTCACCTTAAATAATAACTTCTAATCGGCGATATTCGCCAATCTCAGGATGACTTTACACATGTCTGTCCGAGGTACTGCGGACGCCAAATGGATGGAAAACCGCATTTGTATCGGGAATTGATAATTCAAGACAGATCCGTCGAAGCGTTCAATTCGCGCTCAATAGATTTGCGTTTGATGGATGCCAACTTGACAAGTGATTAAGTCAGAAGGTTTCAAATGACGTGTACGGGCACGTATTGCTGGGGAGAATCACGCACTTCCCATTGTAAAGTATAAGCATATTTCTTTAATTCTGTTTGCCTTGGCTACGCTATCTCGTTCCGCTTGAAACAACTGTTTTGTTCGCACCGACCACAACAAACACAATATTCCCGCCTATTTGATTTCCGCTCGGTAAAGAAACAGTATTGGACGATGATAAGCGACTTTAGGCCAAACATCGATGGATTTTTTGGTTACTAACTCTAAAATCGCTGATCCGACTTTCTGCTTAGAGCCTACAGCCTATAATTTTATCCACGCTGTATCCTTACCTTCGGTTTGAAATTCTAAAGAAACGTTTGACTGAACGAACAAGATGAAATTTCAAAAGACCATACGTTTCAAAGCAGTACCCAAATCAGGTCTATTCAGCAAGGCATTTCTCGTTAAGCTCTTAAGCTTAATTGGAAAGTTCGTTTTCATTCAAGCAATAGGCTTCAGCATTTGAGGAAAACTCTTTTCCACCTTGTGGCAAATTAACAGAAAAATAATTGCGAAGACAATACAATTTCTAACAATATAATGCATAATTTGTAAGTGTTCTGTGGTGCGTGTTCTTTGTTTATATTTTCGATCGCTAAGCAAATGTTTAGAAATGAGGTTCAGTGCATGTCTTAATAGCTAAAACTAGCAGAGAGTGTCAAAACAAATGGACCATAATGCCGATGTTTTGCGGAAATTGTAAATTTAGCTTTGTCTCCTTGTGTTTATTTATTTTCTCTTTTATTAAATCGACTTGGCCGCAGGGTTAACCGGCTCTGTAACAATCATAATTAGTTTTCATACAACAGCTGGTCGTGCTTACAGTTTGTGTTTTTCCGGATTTTTGGGCCATTTCACATCTCCAATTTTGGTCATAAACACCACCTCATCTCGGCATCATGAAAAAACATTTGTTGGTATTTTTAACGTGTGCTCCAGGGCAGACTTGTCAGATTTTTCTTTATCACTAATCGGCTTCGCCGCGGCTGACAAAGGAAAAAAATTTGCATACATTTTTTTTGGGGTCAACCATTAGGTTGAGAGGATCAAAGAAGATAACATAGCCAGACAAATGTTCCCCCGTTGTCTAGTCAATGCTAAGAGTTGGACCATAGTTAGTCGGTCACACTTTGCACGAAGAATGACACAGCGTTTGTCTAATTCCATAGCAGACTGAAAATAATAAACAACTCGAGAAGTTCCACAAGTACCTTTTTTTTTTTCAATTCGACATGGGAAAAACAGTGGAGGATTACTACCACTAAATTCACATTTTTAGCACCTAAGAAAGGACTTCAAACAAAGATTCATCGCCCTAGGGTTGGATTTCACAGACTCCCTACTGTGATCCAACGCATGGTTGACATCTTCCCTTTCCACAAAATTTAATCGAAGTCAGATTTTATAATTATTCATTATTTTAAAATAATGCCAATAATAGTGTCACTTGTCGATAAAATAGCCATAAAGTTGAACAAGAATATTAAATGGTCAGGTACTGAATTGCACAAAAGCCAAGAGAAACAGACTAAACTCGTTATTCAGACATTTTCCCTTTCCACTAAATTTTATCACGTAGTTAGGTTCAATATTTGTTTATTAATTGTGTCACTGGCCGATAAAATGGCTGTGAAGTTGATATAGAATATTTAACGGTCACGTACAGGATTTCTTAAATAACAGACCAAAACCCGTTACTTTTACTCCCATAGATGGGAAAGTGGTGTGTTTCATAAGTTACGCGTGCAGAGCTCACAGTGGACTCCATGAGCTAAATTTTGTATTTTTCTAGTCAAATAAAAGAAGACAGGCCATTACCGAAGTGAAAACAACTCCAGGGTTTTGCGTTTCGTTCGTTTGACTCTCTTTCCTCGTTCGCACTATAAGATTAATTCAAAGAAGACAGGCTGCTGACTATTGTGGGATTCACAGTTCCTCTTCTTGGGGCAGTTTATGCGTTTGCTCCCTTCACCTTGAAGAATCTGGTTGAAAACTGTCAATGTAAAAAAAAAAAAAAAAAAAAACCAGAAAATTTATCGTTCGCTGAAAGACCTAATTGTTTAAGGCAATTTCACATATACAGAACAGCAATATATCTCTTGAGAACAGCTATAAACAAAGAACATAAGGCAGCCACGTCTCGTCCCTAATGATATCTTGGATTAGTACAGTAATATGCATCCTATCTTCTGCTCTTCATTTTGAGAGAAGCGCAGTAACCAGCGCCAGTGACAAAACCGCAGTGAACAGTAAGGCTACTCTCGTCGACTGTTTTCAGGTCGTATCAGAATTCAAATTCAGAGAGTTAATTTTTGCCGAGGGAAGGAGACCTCCAGAAAATCCCGAAGAAAATCGTCTGCCAGGGTAATAACGCGAACCAACTAAAACCTCGAATCATAAGTTTCGTCAAGCACGAGATTCAAATGCCCAAGGAAGCCCAAGGAGTGTTGGAGAAAAGGATTTTAGTTCCCAATCGTTATTTGGGAGTGCCAACATAGATCTCCATAACCACAAGCCGTTGCTTGTTCGCGGGTTCGTGGATAACAGTCTCCGGTGAAGCCCTCATGACTTCTTCGTAGCTTGGTGGAGGTGCTTCTGTTTCATGTCCAACTTCACTGTATGACTGTGGGCCACTAATTGTGACAAGAGAAGAGATTTGATGTGTGCGCGATTCTACGCGTTCCGGCTGTTCGTTCACTGAGCTCATTTCCTCACTTCGAACATTCCTATTTTGCTGGACGCTTCTTGCTGTGGAACTTCTATCCATGGTGACAATCGAAAGCGTAGTGTTAACGTTATCATTTCTTTCATTTCGTCGTTGCCTCGCGCAACAACAAATGAGAAATATCAGGGCTGCGATAGCTCCAATCACATTGAGTATAGTGTTACTTGACAACGAGATCTTGGAGGAATCATTGCTTGTGTCAAATCGAATGCAATACCCATCTTGACAGATGTGTCCACTTGGACAATGTGAATTATGGTAACATTCTGTTTAGAAGAAAGAACATTGTAGTCACACACTCATTTAATGTAGACAGCTTAAGGGATCTGAGACATGACTACTGAGCTATCCATTCATCTGGGAAGTGGCCAATGCAATGATACCCGTTATTAGAGAAACCAATGAAGGGAATGAAACAACATCATACACTTGAGCTGCGACATAAAGATCTTGATAAAAGAGATATGATTGCATTTACGACAACAATTGCAGTATAGTTGTGGGACTATGAATAAAGCCTTTAAAAAAAAATTCAGGTTTGAATGGGAGTCGAACCTTTGACGGGCTTGACGGACCTTCAAATCAAACTTAACAGAAGCTGGTTCTTATGTTATATCTCATTTTTATGTACTATCCCACGGGAAACATCATTTGGTGCATAATTTTTCGACGTGTCACTTGTGTTTAATAGAGGACAATCGTAGATTAGAAGACACAAACGCTAAAACGTGGATCATTCAATGATCCACGTTGTTGTCAGTCTCTGTTTTACTGATTACAGCAGAAAGACTCACCATAACAGCCCTCGTTGTAACTACACGCTAAGGTGGCGTACTTGTTCATAAGAGAGTACAAAATCTGGCAAACAAGAACTCTTCTTTCCATTCTCATGTACAGTTAGGGTATATTCTAGATCAGTGTTTCCTCAGAGCAAAATAGAATCTGTTTTCTCGCCGTTTCGGTATCTGATCTTATGAAGACTGTGGTCATATTTTAGGGAGTATTTTTCAAATATTAGTTTTTCAGCTGATGCACTTCTGAATATTGGTTTTCAGAATCAAAGATATCAACGCATGCTGTTGTATGGTTTTCAATCAAAGGGGAAGTAAATTAATTCTGGGTATTTCAAATTGTAAATAAGTTAAAAGACAGGATTCCCTTTAAAATTTTGACGTTTAGTACAAAAATTGACAAAATATTCTTTCTCAAAACATGCTTTCCTTTGCATAGCCTATTCGTGGTGAAAAAGATTCGTTTATTTGCATATCAGCAATATTATACTATGAAACAGACAGTTCTATATTTGACCCGAGTATACTTTTTTACACGAGGGTAATTTACCACATTCCTGACCCGTTCTAAATCCGTATTGCGTGGCTGCTTTTCTTTCGTAGCTAACACCTTCGTTCATCTTTGTGTGACAATGGAGACCAAATTATTAGTAAAACTCTTCGGATAGACTGGATCAAAATGTTTATTTTATTAACGGTTCACTGAAAACAAATTAAACAACAAATTAATATGCGGAATTGATTAACAGTGACTTGAAATAACAAAGGCAAAAGCCGAATGAAAATCAGTTGAATAAACAACCGGCAAAAATACGAAACAGTTGAAAGGGCTTTCCAGAGCCATATCATACAGCTAAGCTGTATGATATGATAAGCTACAAAGCTTAGTCTATGCGGTTACTTCTTAGCTTCGAATAATCATGGTGACATGTTGCTGGTTTGGCAGAGGTCTTGAATGAACAGCCCCCTATGACGCCCCCATAACTTCTTCATAACTTGGTGGAGGTGCTTCAGTGTTATATCTGTCGTCAATGTAAGATTGGAGACAGCTGTAAGCGATAGTATCAGAAATTTGATTACGAGCTTCTTCGTGTTGCGGTAGTTCGTTCACTGAACTCACTTCATTGCTTCCCATCTGTTCATTTTGCTGAATGTGTCTCATCCTAGAAGTTTCCGCATCCGTTGTGACAACTCTTGGTGGGATTTTTCTGTTGCCTTGTGCTTCATCTTTTAGCATTATACAACAACAACAGAGAAATACAACGATGACAACTATTAAAACTCCAAAGACGAGGGACACTGTTGTGTCCCTTCTGCCACCTGGTATGCAGTGCCCATCATCACACATATACCCGCTGTTACAGCTTGGATCCTCATAACATTCTGTTTTAAAAGAAGAAAGGACACTGCACTTTCACAAACCACTCATTAAAAGCAGCTGGAAAAAAAGATCACCACAGTTACATAACAAGTAGGGGAAAGAAGAACCTTCGTGTGGCTTCGTAACTCAGTTGGTACCGCGCATCACTATCTGGGAAGCACAGGTTCGAATCTTGTCTAAATCTAGTTTTTTTTTAAGGCCTCCTTTATGTAATTGCCTAAATTTCAGCACACCTGCTTCACTTCTTCTTCAAAAAAGTTTGAATGATACTTTCCGAAGTACCTGTGAAAGTGAAGCCTGCTAAAAATAGATACAGGCTTAGACTAGATTCGAGTCTGCGAATTTATCCAAATGGAAGCTAGGAAGTGATTGTGCGATACATGATTTTTATTTTTTTTGTCCCTTGACAGTAACATTTCATGGCACAGAATCTTTGAAATTGTTCTCGTTTCTGGTGGAAAGCAATCGTTGATTTGATGATGCCAACGATAGGACAAGAATCACAGATGTGAGCTCATCTAATACGCCTTTCAATCTGTAATTACAGGAAAGAGACTCACCATGACAGTTGTTGTCATATTTACAAGTTGAGGTCGCGTTATTGAGCATAAAACAGTATAGAATCTGCCAGACTAGAATTTTGGTTTCCATCCTCATTTAAAACTAGGGTAAGATCTCAATCAGTGTATTCTTACGACTAAATGGAACCCTGTTTTCGTCAGTCAAGCTGGTATTATTCAGTTGGCGTCGCAATATTTTGGCAACTATCTTAATATTTGGTTTTAAGCTGATGTAAATCTAAATATTGGTTTTCAGAATTTCACATATCAATTTCGACATTTGGTTCGATTTCCATCCAACAAGTAAAGAACATTACTTGAGCAATTCAAATTGACAATATTTGCAGAACTAAAAACCTTTGGAGCTTAAGCAAAAACAAAGCAGAATCTGACAATAAGTAGAACTTTCCTTTTCATTCGCGTAAGGACGGTATTCTCGTACGTTCTTTGATATGCATACTAGCTAGTAATAGAAATGAGGAAGTCATGGGGGAAAATCCCGAGCATTGGCTGCAATATCTGATCGATTCCACTCGAGTTATTTTTGGATTGTAAGGGGTAATTTGCACGAAATTATCCTTTTCTCTTCGCAACTGTCCACAAACTTTCCAAACATACGCCCACTGAAACAGACCGGAGGTTTTTCTTTTTCCTGAGCAAGGGCAACGCCTGTCTTATTAACAATTCCACCAAACAAACAAGATATGGCTGTGGAAGCCCTCAAGGGCTCCTCACAGTTTCGTGGAGGTAGCCAGTCTCAAGTCCTCGTTCGGTAAAGGCCAGTGAAAGAGCGGGTGAACGACTGACAGCGGTTACGGTTGTCAGGGAAACAGCCGCGTGACCACCCGCCCACTTTTTAGCTTGTTTCCGCTGACCGAGACCCTTCACATATAAAATTTAAATATACGTGGTAACATGATGATCGTTTGACGGTGTTCTCGAATGAGGAGCCTCCTGTGAAGCCCTCATAACTTCTTCATAACTTGGCGGAGGTGCTTCCGTCTCATCTTCAACTTCAATATATGATCGAGGGGCACTGTCTGCAACGGGATTAAAAATTTGATCAAACGCTTCTTCATGTTGCCAAGGGTCGTTCATTGTACTCGTTACCATCCTTTCCACCTGTCCATCTCGTTGAATGTCTGCTACCCTTTGAATTCCATTCGTGTTGACAGTTCTTAGAGTGGTGTTGGTGTTGTCATTTTCTCCGTCTTCCCCCATTTGTCTTATGCAATGACAAACGAGAAGCATGAAGAGTACTGCAAGGGAAGCTCCAATCCAATAATATATCGTTTCACCTAGCTGAAAGAATAGAAGAAAGGAAGAAAGACTGAAGCAGTTGTGGACAAATAGCCTGAAAAAGAATTTCAGCTTTGAACGAGACTCGAACCTTGGACCGTTCTGCAAACGTAGCTAAGTGGATGCTGGTTATTATCTGATATTTTCATATGCAAGTTTCATAAAGTAGAAATCTAAAGTGCATAAATTTACGTTTATTTCTTATGGGGTGTCAAACGCAACTGTTTGGGGATGAAGCGGTTGAAGCGTGCCAATCGATCACCATATCAATCGTTTTGGGTTGAAACACAGTAATCCAGACTTCTCCTCGTTCAAATGTTCAATCGTTTTGGGTTGAAACACAATAATCCAGACTTCTCCTGGTTCAAATGTTAAAGGTAAACAACGAAGTGGCCAATTAAAGTCTTGTAACACGACTCCTCCTTTTACCCAGATTTCCACGCCTCTCACGCCCCATCCAAGTGTTTTCGTTCAAAAACACGCTATTTAACTGCTTGATGACACATTCTTACCTAACATCAACGCCCGAAAAGCTTTTGAATACGAAGAGTTTCGTGGATCGTGTCAAAAGTGGTGTGTTTAGAAAGTGCATCGTGCTGTAAACGCTCCTCTCAAGCGTGGACAAATGAAAACAGAGAGAATGCCGAAAGATGCGTCACATTCTGACATTACGAAGGTATTACCGTTTTGGGGCGTTTAAATGTGGGTGATTGGCGAAATCGCACCAAAAGGTACGCGTTTTCAAAGAAAATGCAGAAGTATGGACAAATGAGAGCAAAAATAAAACGCTAATGTAGTGAATATATTTTGCTTTGTTTTGTTTTTGAGACGAAGACGAACATTTCCGAAAACGCATTTGTGGTTGGAACCTCCATTCATTTACTTCTTCCTAGCATATCCAGTGTATCGAAAGAGCACGAGTAAGTCGCCATGTTGTTTTTCTTACAACATGCGTTACGGCCGGCAAGTTAATTCCGCATAACTTCAGCCGACCTAGCGCAAACGACAACGGTCGCTACCTGTGCTTATTCGACCGTCTCACAAGGTACGTAAACCAGCTAAATCAACCTTAAACGGATTCTTTTTATGTAGAAGCATGAAACCAAACCAACATTAAACAGTTGATTCTCGCGAAATATGAATAAGTATCTTAAGTCTTTGGTGGACCACAATCGCGGATTTCGATTCACACGTTCAGACAAGTAATCCCTTGCTTTGGTAATCACTGCAACGAAACTCACCATTACAACGGCTGGGAAATTCCATCTGACACCCTGAAGTCGTGTGCTTAGAACGGAGCAGAATCTGATAAAATCCGAAATTTTGTTACCATTATAATGTAAACCTCGTTAGGTGTCTGTATCAGTACACCTCTGCGGTAAAATGACATCCCGCATTCATTCCGTTAGTTTTAAAGTCTTCTGTCAACGTCATCAATATTGTTTGGAACACTTTTCCGTAAATTTTTGATTATTACGCATTTGAATATTGGTTTTCAGGTTTGCAGTGTTCCTTGTCCGCGTCTTTAATTTTTTAGTATTTAGTGCAGACTTTCATCTTGTAATTTAACTGTTTACAGACAGGAATCCCTTTAATGCTTCAATTCTCAGAAAAACGGGACACATTCTGATCAAACACAGCTTTACTTTTCATTGCATTTACGTGTGAGGGAAGATATAGTGGATAAAGAGTATAAAAAGTCCTATATTTGTCCCTCGTCATTTTCCTCATATCATGGTAATTTACCTTAGCCTTGAGCTGATTACGTACATCTTAAGCGGTTATATAATGGATGATTTTAACATTTATGGAAATTTTTAATTGGAGCTGCAAATGGAGGTTCTTGCAGCAGAGAATGCCTGTCAGCGGAAAAACGATCGTAACTTGACAGGTTGATTAATTGATCGATTCATTGATTGATTGATTGAATGATTGATATTTTCTTCTTAAAACCTTGCGTTGAGGAAAACTTTAATTTCTCTCTTCTTGCTTGTTTTTGTTCAAAAATCTCGTGACTGAGATGCTCCACAGTTACACCATTTCAAACCACTTCCCGACAGCTGCGATGCGACAGATTGCGTGACCGAAGTGAGTTGCGTAATGTCTTGTCCATACCGCGTACAGCTTTGCGACTTCAGCCGTAATGAAAATTTACTTTGAGGAAAGTTGTTGCTACGATCATCAGTTACGTGCGGCGCGGAAAAAGTCGGTGACAGACTTTTGAGAGTAAAATAGCGGTATTACCCGGGTAACCTTGCTCGTTTCCTATGTTAACCGAATCTTAAGAGCCGTGAGTCACCAACCGTCAAACATGAAAACCCGCCAGAGGAATGATTCAATGGAAACAGAGTCAGTTAACCGTGACAACAAACTTCATAACGTGGTCGCCAAACTTCCATCACGCCTTAATCGACTGGAAATCGAAGTCAAAACAAATCTTGACTTAAATCTTACACTGCCATACACATACAATCTAAATAAACATAATATTATAATTGCTATAATATGCTCTCTTTGTTAAACGGTTTTCTCTGTTCGAAGAATATACTCCCGAACCTGTAAAATAAGAAAATATTGGCATAAATATCCCGCTTTATAAAAACTTTACGACATTGTAAATTGGTAAAGGTGTGACACGAGAAGCGATAACCTTCGACCTCCTTAGCTAAATATTTCCCAAAACTGAGAACAAGTTGCCCATTTATGTTGATACGAGACTTTCAGTCATGTCCCGGCTATATCCTCGGTAGAAGCTCTCATGGCTTCTTCATAGCTTGGTGGAGGCAACTCATCTGAAGCTGCTAAACATCTGTAAGACGGGGGACCGCAGTCTGCAATAGCATCAGGGCTCGTAGGCACACTCGCTTCGGCTCGATCTTCAGCTGAATGCGACTCTCCGCCAGCAGCACCAGTTGAATTCGAAGTTCCAGTAGCACCTTGCAATCCAAATAAGTATACAGGACCTGTGCTTTCGTTGTGGTTTGCAGTAGGTCCAGCCGCTTGCTGCGATGCTCTAAGATTGGCAGCACGTTCTTGGTCTCTTCGCTTTAGCGAAGCAAAATGACAACAAAATCCAATTACAATGGCGACCACAACAATCAAAACAATGACAAAAGCTTGGCCGATATCGGCCATAAGGACTGAAGTTTAAAGCGAACTCTTTAAGGGCACACTTTGAGTACAATATCCAAGATGGAGGTTAGACATCTTCTTCAATTTTTCTTTAATTCATTTCGAAAGACTTTGATCACTATCACAGCTGGTTCTCAATCCGTTCTGAACCCTTTGCTTACCAATCTAGTCTCTCGTATTCTCCCTTGTTAATCAATCGAAGTATCAAATGTTTTTCTCAAGAAGTTGTTGACCCAAACTTGACTTCCAGTGAAAAGTCCGGCGCACTTTTTCAGTTTTCAACGCCGTCTCAATGTCGATCGTAACTACTGTAAATTGATATGATAGCCGCCATCTTGATTACGAAGTCACGATTGGTAATTTATGTAAATGCTGGTCATGTTTATTTTAAATTGTTGCACTGTTTTTCCGAAACTATTTGAAAAATGAGCACCTGATGTTTCATAGCTTATAATAATTTGACCACTGAATGTGATTTCCCACTGAATGTGATGTCCAACAAAAAACAAGTAAGTTATCGAAAACACATTCCCGCCACCTGCAGTCACAAATACGCACGTTCAAAATCTAATGTAAACAGATATCAATTAGAGACTGGCTTGAGCAAATAGGCAAATCCATTGGTTGCAGAATGAGGGGAAAATTCAACAATTTAAGAATATGCGAGTTCAATGTTGAGACAGAGTGTAGAAAAGTTGTCTATGAGTCCTTCGATCACAAACTGCAAGACTCAGAGTTCCCCGTCCCCTCGCTTCGATTCTTGTTCTAGTCACGCAACACTCTCACTTCCAGAGTATATTGCGTGACAAAACCAATCGGGACAACAACAATAACTACGACAGTGGAGGCAGCTGAAGTTGAAGTGTCAACTACTTTGCAAATGACAACGTGTGGAGCTCACCTTCAAATTTTTAAATCAAAGCTTTTTCAAGTTTCCAAAATAATGATATTTACTTACAAATACGGATGAAATGGAAAATGTCCCAGAGCATATCAAGAGCATGAATACATATGCTTTAGTAAACAATAAAAAACCAGCTGGCAAGTTCAGTTGCAGTTCTCTTCTTACTACTTAAGTGGTTAACTTAAATACAGAATCAACCTTACGCAGAAATGTCAAGCAATTTTCCACCTTTTCCGTTGTCACTGTTGGTTATTACAAGAAAAATCGACGAAATGTTTCAACGCAACATTACAGGGGTTGTAGACAAACAGAACGACTCTCCCGTGGTTTAGCCAGCGAGAAGGCTTTCATTGCGGCGAGACACGCAGCTTTCCAGCCACTGAGCGATGCGAGCGATGCGAGCGTGCGAGACGTGTGAGGTCTGCGTGTGTTCTGACGCGAAAATGTTTCCTGCCAGAACCCTCACAAATTTCTCGCAAGCTCGGACGAATCTCGCGGACTTCGACGAAGCGTTAGCGAGACTTAATCGAAGGCTACCGTTCGGCGATATAAAATTCAACCACTGTTGTGTCGAAAGCACTAAGATTTTTCTCCAACCTTTGATAGCGACTAGAAAGATTAACAACCGCTTTGGAATATTATATCGGACTTAAATAATTTAAACGGTCTTATTATAGGTTACGTGTTCGATGATGTTCAATTGCCAAACACAATCAATTCTCTGAAAATTCCTAGAATTTCCTTCCTATTACCAATGTCGGTCATCATTTCAGAGCAACCCTACCCGTACTGTCCATGTCACATGGCTAAATTCTCTTGGGAAACCCTAACGGCTTCCTCATAGCTTGGTGGCGGAGGTTCATTTGAAACCGCTATGTACGGTGGTGGGCCACTGTCTGCGATAGCATCAGGGCTTCTTGGACTTTCGTCGTGATTCTGACAAACATCTTCAGCCACGCTCGATGACCGTTGATGTCCAGTTCTAGTCGAGTCTGAAGTTGAACTAGCTCCCCGCAGTCTTAAGATGAAAATAGAACCTGTCTCGCTTTGATTTGTATAACCAGAAGGTTGAACTTCACCTTGTTGCGTGGTCCTTCGCCTCGCAGCGATTTCTCCTCTTCGCTTCTGAGCAGTTATGTGACAACAACAACCAATTACGATGGCGAAAAGCACGATGACCAAAACAATGAAGACAGTTTGAACGACCTCAGACATACCGGAATAGAGTTAACAGCACAATCGACAAAAGAATCGAAAGGTTCAAAGTCCTGAACGAAAAAAAAAATCCAAAATCCTTTCGGATATTTGTTCCGATTTGTGTTATCTTTTCACGGCGAAGTACATAAATACTATGAATAGCTATTCAAGCAGAACTTATCGTTCCTTGAGCTTGAGATTCTTTAACGAAATCACTGGGAAGAATTACTCCTCTTTTCGATGGGGTCTCTAACAAAGAACAGTCCTGTTTTGCTCTTATAAACAGAGTTCGGTCTGCTGACCGCCATTTTAAAATTTTCATTAAATCAAAGTAGTCACGCAACGCCAACCGAATTTGGACCATTAAGCGGCATCCTACGTAACAACTACTCTCGACAGCCAGCTGCTCGCTTTTTAAAACTTTATTTCATAGGGTAACTTAGAATTATAAACTGAGTTGATAACGTAAACAGGCCACCGTAAAGAGTTTAAAAGCTGACGTTTCGAGCGTTAGCCCTTCACCATTCGCTGTGACCAACACTGATATTGATCCACTGTTGGGTTAGGGAAGGGGCAGGGATAGGTGGGCAGTTGCCCAGCTACTGATATTGATCCTAACTGGTTTATTAGAAAAAAGCCCAAAAATATAGATAACTCTTCCCAACTTTATTTTGTAAGAACAAACAGAATGTTCAATGTACAAAAAAACACTTTCGCCTTAACTCATCTTCATGCGCGCACATTGTATAATTGTACATAATCCACGATGGAAACTCATGATGAAAACTTTTGAATTACATTATCAAATGATCCAGTTTTTAATATTCAAAAACTATTCCAGGAGTGCGCTTCGGATATAAGATGGTAAACAAACGCGACGCATAGCGCCGACTTGGCTATAACTAATCTTGTTTCCAACGAGCGCGAATGAAATAGTTGTTTTATTAAATTTCTTTAAATCCTGAACGTTTGGATACCCTTAGCTCCGCAAAAGTTGGCGCAAAACATTCCATACAAGTGGACACGAAAAAAGAGCCGATAACCGGAGTTGCGTGAACCAACCAGGATTGCAGTATTAGAAGTTAAAAATTTCATAATGCAATATGCTGAGAATTTCGACGATCATTTATCACCGCTTCACTCCAATACCCTCCACTCCATTTCTTTGAGCGCTCATTTACGATCAGCAAGTCAAGTAAGGAGTCGCGTTTGATTAGTGTTTCAGTCATGATCAATAACTTAATATAAGAGGGACTTAATTTTTCCAAGGTCAACTTTCCATGAAGAAAAGCAACTAAAAGGGCGCTGTAAATATCTTGCACAGATCAGTATCGCCATGTTTAGAAAGTTTGGTCACACAACTACGACCTGAGTGTGCAACATTCTAAATGCATATTTTCATAATTAAAATCCCTATTCTTCAAGAAATTTGTGTATAATATGCAAGGTATGTCACGTAAAACTGTGCACATTCACGACTGTTTATAGTACTTTTTACACTTTTTAAAACGGTGGTCACCCATTTCGAATCGCGGTCGCTAGTACTTCTCCGCTGATGGTTCAAGGCGGAGACCTTCTCTCAATAGAAATCAGTGTCCATCGGCCGTAACAGAACACCATAAATATGTGCGTACCCAACTCGCCGTGACTCAACGTGAAAAAGATCCTTTGATCTGCATACTTGTTCGACGATTCGTCCAAAGGTTACGATTGCTTGATGATAAAAAAATTCCAAATTATGATCTGGGTTATTCAACCATTGACGTTTCACGAACAGTCGGATTTACTTTGCTGAAGTGACAAGGTTGCAAATTATGTCACTTAGGGCTAAAACTGAAACTTGTTTCTAAATTTGCCCTCTTGTCGTCAAGCTGACATCCTAGAGAATTAGCCAGAGAAATTTTTGTGGTTTTCATTGAGCTCTAGGCAGCTTTAAGCGGTCAAATATCAAGGGAAGATGATAATCCGGTTGCTTTCAAAATTTTAAACCATGACCACAGTGCAAAACTGAGAGCTTCAGCACGGAAGACTTTTTTAAATTTCAATTCGCGCGAGATGCATTTTTAGGCTCTCCGCTCTATTACGCCCGTGTCACACATTCTCTGACCAGACTGTCTATAGCCATGCTTTATAGCATTCCGTTGTCGTGCGCCCGGCTCCCAAGTCTATAGTAGGTCTTTATAGTTGAGATTGCTTATTATCATGAGCTCGACTGTGAAGAGACTTGCGTTAGATCTGATAGAACACCTTGTCCGGGATGCTCGTACCTACGAACAACTCTTGACAACCTCGATGGATCGCGTGGCCATAATCTGTGACAGAGAAACCCGACTAACATAAGCAGCAACACGAGTAATACCAACACGACACTGAGAACCAACCAGTTGTACAACTTGTGCTTTTCAGTCAGCTCACACGCCGCACAAGCTGCTTGCTCCGTGGCATTTTTCTCGCAAAAAGCAAAGGGAAGCATCCATGAAGAAAACCCCCCAACCACAAACATTGACACCGTGAGTCGCTTCCATCTCGTGACAATGACATGTGCGTCCATTTTTCACCTTAAGAATCTAGTTATCATTTGACCAGAATAAAAGCTCTCTCTTTGTGAAAACAATTCGCTGTTTACATGACACTTCACGCTGATAAAAAGAATAATGAACTTAATACCCAGAGACGTGAGTAAGGCTTGTATGTCAGCAGATCAGTACCATACAACAGATGATTGGCTATTTGGAAACATTCACATATCATGACATTAATTTCGGCCGGCTTTCTCAGGTCATTTTCCTCTTTGCAGCGATAATGCACAAACATGGCGCCGGATAAGATTATGGTTGTCAACGAGATGGTTAGCTTTGAAGGCGGTGTTTGAATAATATGTTTACATAGAGTGAGTCAATGCATCCTCAGGGCTTACACTAGCTTTAATTTGTTGGTTTATAAACAATTTAACAACGTCATTAGGCGGAAAGTCAAGGATTGACTACCTGGTGTTGAACTCGTCATCAAAACTCGAATCCAAAACTAAGAGCGTACGTGTAAAATGCCTAAGACAACCACCCTTCTTCTCTAACTAACCAATTTAGACAGCCCTCGAGAACATCGGATGTAAATGCTTGCGGTAGAAGTGCTGGTTTTGACCTCGGCCAGTTTTGGTATTATTTCGCTGAAGTGTGCGAATAACATCTGACCGAAATGATACCTCGGCTCGTGTTAGATAACAGATGGAGTGCGTTTTCCCGCTGAAATGCAAGTTTGTCTTTGAGGCTGCAGAAGCTGAGGTGTTAGTCTACTCAGAGGTGATTGAAATTTGCTGAAGAAGGTTGATCTACTAGAAGAATTTGCTAGATAACATCGAGGAAAAATGGCCGAGTAGGCGCCTGGATTTGTCTTTACCCTCCGGGCTCACCGATGCAATTATTACTATTAACACCGTTAATTTCAAAAATTAAATTACCAAAACAAGATCAGATAAAGAACAGATGCGAAACCTACATTATACTGATTACAACAAAGTGCGAGGAACCGTTTCCTTCGAACCAAAAAGAAAAAGGATTCCGTGGAAAGAAGGCGACTCGATCCCATTAGCCCAAAAACTCTAAACTCTTTTAGTGCCTGAGGAATGGCTGGTCAGTCATGAGGGCTAGTCTTTCAGATATGTCTGTGATGATAAAGAAAATGACGTCAGCAAGAATCGGACACGGTGACTGAGGGGATAAAGAAAAAAGCTGCATATCAGGAGAAATGATTGTCATTGATAAGAAGACGTTAATGGCTCTGGGAAGAATTCAACGGAAATGCTAATGAGTAAAGTCAGAGAACAACAGACTGAGGGGCCGAGATTGTTAGTGATATTGGGCAAGCGAAGGCAAAAACTTGGATCTGATCACCAGTTAAAAACGAAAAAAAAACGACGCAAGAAGCCCTGTCGTATGTATTCTTAGACTAAGTTTCTTCAATGGAACAAAAACGTGCTCTGTAATATCAAAGTTTTCTACCCTTGTAAATTTACACAAGGAGACAAAATGTTGCCGTGTTAACGTTGCGACAAGATAAACAAAGCCAAAATTTCAGGGGATCTTTTGATGAGTTTTAAAATATCATTAACGGTGTTCATTGCTTACACAATCAGATTATCTTCTACAGTATCTTATATTTGGACAGCTGCAAACAAGTAAAGGAATGAAAGAACCGCTTCCTGCCGCAAATTATTTATCGTGTTGTAATTCTTGTCATGAATCTGGCAAACGATGTGAGCAAACTTGGCTCAAGCAATATTCAAGAGTACCTCATCACTCAACGTGTCAAAACAATCACTTATCATCTTTAGATCCATAGTGACTTTTCATGCAGCCTACGTGATTTACCCTGGATACCTAGTGTGTACGGCGGAAGTCTGACGCGATCTATTGTGTTCGTCTATTTAGGAACAGAGAAATATTCACATTAATTAACTGATCCAAAACACGTACATAAGTTGCAAAGAAGTAATTACGGTTTTTTTCTATATTTCTTGTGGCTCCAGACGATGAATTCATGTATGTACAGGCTTATTCAATACATCGCCCTCTTAAAAGCCACTTGTGGTTGATTCACTCAAGTGTCCGGATTGGCCTTCCCGGTTAAATGTTATTAGGAAATATAGACTGGTTTCTATCTGCTTCAAAGGGATTACCACTCAAAACTGTTATTTCTCGTTCTGACATGAAATACTAATTTTTACTCTCTAATTTACACGTTCCTTCTGTACATGCCTTTGTTGCACATGATTCAAGTTTTTCTTTAAATCATAATCCTGAGGAACTTTCCTCAATGTTGGACACCGCTACCTTTAAAACATCTTCGTAACTTGGCGGGTTGGACGTATTTCCGTACCGCTGATCGCTGTACGGAGGAGGTTCCTCGTTAATGCTTTGAGTATCGGGAGGAGGCTCGAATGCTTCTTCGTCATCTTCGCCTTCTTCCGATCTGGGTCGAGGTTTATCGTAAGCCGAGTAAAAATCGTAAGGCGGTAAGCGCGCGTGAGGGACATAAAAGCCGTTTGAAAATCCATCCAAATCTCCATTGAGTGCAAAATTATCAATTCCCATATTTAATTCAACCTGCGACGTATCGTGTCCATTCAAGTGACTTTCATTCCAATAATCCTCCCCTGTTTGTGATCCTTGTGTCGTTGCCGAACGCCTCTGTTGATTTCGCCTTTGTTTTGCCCGGGCCAGGCAGAACGAAATCAAGCAGAAATTTATAAATAGAATTGAAAATCCCACAAGAGCGATAGCAAATTCTTGGTTTCCTGAGAGCAAACTGTGGCTCGTGGAAGTTGGTTTCCCAATTCCGTTTGACCCTGTAGAGACTGTAGTCTCCGCTACTGTTTTGTATTCCATTGACACGTCCGTCGACGGAATCTGACCTTCTTGACTGTCCGACTTTGACTCGACGTAAACGCAATGTCCTTGTCGACAGACCTTGCCAGAGCCACAGGAAATGTTCAAAAGATCGCAGTCAATAATGTCGGTAACTCGACTGTTGTTTATCCGCGTATTGTTTCCGCAATTGCTCTGTGGAGGTGGGCATTTTACAAAACTTAACGTCAGCTTTGCTTCGAAGGAAATAACTAAAAACACAACCAAATTTACCGACGTCATTTCTAAGCTTGAATCCTTAACAACAACTCTGTCATCAATCCTGCCGACAACATCACATAGCTTTTTCACTCCATTTCTGCTTCGTCACAGCAGCCTGGCATATTTACTCTTAGATATTCCATTCCACTATTCGTGTTTTTGTGATTGACTAACGATGCGGTAACGTTTTCTCAACTCCCGTTGGCTCAAGCTGCACTTAATATAAATTACAATTTGCATGTGAATAACATGTTCGCCGCGTAGCCACGTAACAAACAATAACAAGGGTTTATTAGCATTTACAGCGCACACTTCAAATTTAGTTTTATTGTTCAAATGTGTGAAACGACAATTGTATTTTTGCTGGAAAAACACGATCAAAAATGGTGCAGTATTTTAAAGCTTAACATAAATCACTTTCAAAGCGTGCTGATTTGAACTAAAAACTCACTGCGTAATAGAATACACTAGGAAAGCCGTGAAAACGTGGCAATTTATGGTAATGTTTGCGATGCAGTCATTACCTGAACATGCAAATTTTAATGGCAAGAGCAGTTAACAACACAGCACCATTTGCGACGTAAACTCGTGCTCACACATTTTTCATTAGTACACCGTTGTTACACGTCCATGGATGGAAATGTAGTTATCATAATCTGATGTCATCCAGTAAACTAAAACACACCTTCACGTTTTTAACTGTTTTGCAGGTCTTAAATTTGGCGATAACAAAAACAATAGCGAAACTTCTAGTTCGCGGAAAAAAGGTTACCAAAATAGGAACTTTTAAGAAATATTCTATTTATAACTATAACCTTGAGCGTCAAAGGGGAAACTATATTATTAGACATCCTTTTTAAAGTTGCGAAAGAAAATTAACATATTCTTAACTTTCTACACAGGAAATTTATACCAGCACCCAAATGGTATCCTTTCTTTCGTGATTTCACATTTTTATTTATCCACATAATGTTTTAGCCGGGAAAACTTAATTCAAAATCCAACACACATAGGTTGGACCTAGAGAGAGAAGTGCTATCGTTTTGTCACAAGCCTGCAACAAAGAAAAGACCCGAGTACCCGACGAAGAATCGAACCCAAGAGTTTCGAATTTGGCCCACACGATGCCACTGACTGCCAATGAGCAAAAGGCATTCCCCTGGCTGGGAAGTGCATCTTACACCCTCGGTTTAAAAACTTCTGTAACTATGAAGAACTTCCGACTGTTATTTTTCCAATATATGGTGTTGCACTGCTTACTTGAAATTTTCAAAACATACTCTTTAGTTACTTAGTTAGTTATGCCCTAAGCTTTTCCCGGAGCATAGGCCATCGATCATCACCCACCTTCACCTCCTCCTGCCCTGGGCTGGCGTTCTAAGTGGGGTTCAGTTTTGGCCCCAATTCTTCATACCAGCCAGAATACCTCGCCCCCAGATGTTTTTTGGTTGTTCTCTAGTCCGTTTGCTCTGTGGATTTCATTTCATTTTACGACTATCGGCTAAATTTTTTTGGCCGTTTTACGACTATCGGTTATCCCCATTAAGACCCTCTCGTAACACCGTCTGGATGTTTCCTCGAGGTGCGGCCACTCCCTCCGACTGATTTGTGATTGAATTGGTTCCTGTCCTGATCTTTCCCATAGCACCTCTTTTGCTTTTCTCTCTGTTCATGTTATGTTCAGAATTCTTCTCAAGCAGTTGTTGATAAGTGATTGGAACTCATTACTTTTTAGACCAGGTATTTTTTCATCGTGAGGCTTATTTTCCCTGTAATAATAAATTACAGTTTTGGTCGCCCGCTTGAAGAGGGATCAGTTCTTCCTCAGTTTTGTAGGAGATTTTATCCGGATGCCAGAAACAGATTTTATACTTTGAATACACTTTTCCTGTAAATATTTTCATGTTATTCGCAATGCAGGATGTCTACTTAAAAACATTTATTGTGAGTAGCTTAAAGTGCCTGTGACACGAAATTTTTTTTTGCGTAAATATTCAGCTCGTCATATATTCAAACCAATTCCGATAGAATAAAGATTTCAAAAAACTTAAAACTCGGTTTTTTCGGGCCCTAAATTGCAGTTATTTTGTCTTTAAGTATCCCGTCGACTGGTAACGAATTAGCAAGTGATGACGTAGAAAACTATGAAAACTCTCCGTTGACACTCGCAAATCTCTCACATCTCTTGTAATTTTGTATCGGTCAGCGTTGAAATACCCTTGAAATAACGTTCGATAGTGATGTATACCTACCTTCAGCAAGCTCTACCGAGAGTTTTGATACATCGTACTCAAGTACTAAAGAAGAAATGGGAGTTGCGAGTACGGTTCAGCCCTACGAAATTAAGGAGAACCGCGTGCATCAAACAAAGATTTCGACGAAGAATGAATAGGAAGGTTTCTCGCGTGCGGTGTTCAGGTTAAGATTAGAACAAAAAACTCCCGTCACTGAATGTTTAGTTTGATGCATTTGTGTCTTGTTTTCTATGGCGAAATCTATGTTAAGAATGGGTAGCTGTGTTCGTTTTTGTTGACAACATTTTATTCCTTCGCACTAAGAGCGGCAAGGGTTCCTCTTGCTCAGTGTTCTAGATTTTCGTTGCCTTAGAATGATTCCTTTTGCAAACCATAAGCTAACTTTTGACGAAAGAATCGGCTGTATCACGAGGCACGATGATTTTGTGCCGAGAAGTCATCGGGCAGTTTTTACCGCAAGCCTATCCAAAGATCGCAAAGACTGAGGCTGTCGCCGTGGAGCCGGTCAAACAGAAAACGAGTGAGTTTATCTGATTCAAGTTTTCACGGCCCCTTCGAGCTTGTGTTTATGACAGTATCCGCCAAAGGTTTCGCACTGTTCTCGCAACAGGATATTGGTCAGTTCAGGAAAGAGCTTGACCTTTATCATAAATTATGTATTCCTGGTGACAAAATACGATGGAAACTACAACTGGTAGGATTTTCATACGATAAGAAAAGCGCTAATGTAGTCATGTGGAAAGACAAAGAGTATGAGTACGTCTCAAGCGCGTGAAATAAACCTGAACAGTAAGGAGCTCACCATTCTTCGCTTGCGACATGTCAGCCGAAAATAGTGATGAACAATCGTTTACGGTATGGAAACAGGCCCCTTAATGAGCATTCTTTTAAGCTGAATTCTTCGGTTATCTTCCCCTGATTTGTCCAGTGGTATGTGTTCGTAACAGCCGCCTTCAGAGCCGTTACGGAGCATAGGGCTGAGGACATTGAAGAGTAAATCCTCCCCTACGTTGACGATCGAAACGCGTCCATTTGGCCATACAGCTACATCCTTTGGAGTGTATTGCATAGAAATATACTGTATATGTTTGTTATTCTCGTAGCTGACATCATTTGGCTCTCCGGCCACGCATTACGTTCGTTCTCTATTCCAGATTACTCCTTTCTCCACTATAGTCGCCGACGTGTCTTCACAGTTTTCTACGTCACAACGATGTAACATGATCGTTTTGGCCGCGCGCTTGATGGAGACACTTTTTGGCCGCCAAATCGTACTTTCAATGTACAAAAAATGTTCAAGGAGAACTCGCTAATTGCTTGAATCGATCATTTCTAATTTTGAATAAGGCTATTAACCAAAAAATGCAAAAAAAAATTTCGTGTCATAGGCAATCTCAGTTCTGTGGAGTGATATAAGCAAAGAACATTGCAGTATCGTATTTTAAGCTGCACTCTGTCGCGACAGAGTATTCCAGAAATGTGCCACGAGCTATGCCAATCGCTGTAACTGGATTAAAATAAAGGAATGGTACAAAATAATTATAGGGTTCAAAACCTGGGAGTTAATTGAGCCCTCTTAAATGAAAGCTGGTTAAAACAACGCGTAACCAAGTTTCTCAATCTCTCAAACAGGACCCGCATCAAGTGGCATTCTTTTGATAATTTTTCTTTGAAACATATATTTTTGAGATAATAATTGTCTCAGATAATAACGACTGGATTCCGTAAGCATATTGCACAGCGGTTGGCAGCGCAGCCGACTCTGTCGGAAAGTAACAGAAAATATTATATAAGGAACAACAAAAGACGAATGAAAAATTGAAAGTTTTTATTCTACACAGCTAGTGACAGCAACAAAATTTAGGACGCACGGACAATAGGGTGAACAGCGCAAGGGAGATAAAAATTATCGCTTCTTCTAGAAATATAACACTAATCATGTCGAGAGGATATTGAAAGAATGTCGTCCAATGTAATGAAAGTATTATCGTTTTCCCCTGCTATCCGCCCACTTACTTCCCCATTGCCATGGAGTTTATCTAACTTGAATCATTTCCTCGCGCAAACCAAGTCTAAACACGAAAACAACATTTTTTTAAATCGGACCGCATTGATCATTGTTACTTACAAAACAGGAAGCCTTAATCTTATTACCTCATCACCAACGTTTACAAATAAAATAACTGAACTGCTGTTGCGGGGTTGGACCATCTGCACAATGTTATTGCAACGAATTTCTTTCACGTCTATTGACATTACGAAACCATTCCTCACATAAATTTGTGTACTCTTTATTTTGAACCAAATAAATTAAAGTTAAATAATATATACAACTTTCAACGTGTGCATGAATAACGAATACTTGCTCAACTATTTACAATCAATAGCAATAAATAGAAACGAATAAAATTCAGCTTTGCAAAGTTGATCCGTGCAATGGCAATAAAGGCTGTGCCCGCTAGTAAGTTAAAAGAAGTAAAATCAAATCTAAAAAAAAGGATTCTTAGATCTTTGAAATCAAAGATTTAAAAGGATATTTGAACGTAGAAGAATTAGCAAGTAAATTCTTAAAACTACAAAATTCACTTATAATAAGACTTTGTAATTAACTCGTGCGGTTTTACTAGGAGATTACGTAAAAGCCGTTTAATTTGAAACCCGAAGGTCGATTTTCCGGACTCGCCTTTTTCCGGCCCCTCCGCCACACGACGAGATGAAACAAAAATGCAAATCCTGTTAATTTTTTTTTTGTTTTGATTTGTTTGTCTTTCTTCCAAGTTTTGTACAGTAACAAGAGTGAAAAAGACAGATGTTTTTTAAATTCTTATTTTCAGTGAAATACAGTAATCTAAAAAAATACGAGAGGGCATTGCCGTCAAAATTACTTGAACTGCACATATAACTAAAGACTATCTTCTAAGGGACTTTCTTTTGAAAGACTATCTTCTGAACGAAACTGAAAATTAAAGGCATTCTTTAAGTTATAACTTACAGAGTCTTCTTCGAAGTACTCATCGAAAGCAAATTAAGTTAACAGGCGAAACATGAATAGAATAAATAAAAGCGACCCTTCATTTTAGTTTGTGGGAGCAACATAATCGCCGTGAATTTAATTATTTCGCATGAATTTTTGGATAATTAACAGGAAAAAAGATCAAAATTGCCGTTAGCAGTATGATAAATTATTTTAAACTTTACCATTTGACACAGACTTTAGCCTCTGATAGACTGCCACTGTGAGCTTACATAACTGTACAGTGTTACCATTGCGTGCCACCGCGTGCAATCTTAATCACATCGCGTGATTCAACAGTAACGAACACGTTTAGTTCTTCACTTGGACCGCACCGCACTTAAACTTTGGGTAAATTTTTCATCAGCCAGCGGTGGTGATAACAGTGGTCCCTGTTTCTAAAGGCTTTAGTAACTGCGAAATCTTCACCACATGCTCATACGGAGGGGGAGAGTTTCCGAACAAAATACCATACTCTGGCGGTTGTTCATTTGATGTTTCAGTCCCCACGTTTCCTCCTACAACCGTACTTTGCATCTCGCCAATACCGTTTAAATTGAAGCTAAAAAGACTAAAATAAGGCGGAGGACCAGCAGTCATACTGAGCGACGAAAATCGCCTTCGCATTAAGTAGTCTGGAATTTCCACACCCGTGCTTGAATCGCATGTGGTGCTCTCATTCGATTGTGCGTCGACACTCTGTGACCAAGGTCCTTGTTTAAAGCACACGTAAACCAAAACGATAGCAAGTCCAATAATTAATGCCACAGATATACTCATAATGATTACAATGATCTCCACTCCGCTGCCTGAAGCATTCGAGTTTTCACATTCATCGCTACATAGTCCGTGAGAGCATGATTCCAATTCACCATTACACTGCGATGACACACCGATCGCACATGAAACTAAAACCATCGCTGGATAGAAAACGAAAAATTTCATGATTTGATTAAGTCCCATCTTATTAAGATTATAAAAATCCACTTCAAAGTTTATCTCCCCTTGCTTGGCTCGCTCGCGTGAGGTTGTTTCTTCCCAGTTGTGACGGTATGAATGAAGTATCTTTTTATATTTAAGTTGTTTATGTATTATGACTTTATACATACCTTTCACACTGGTTAAAGGACTTCCGGTTTCCATGACGTCACAGGCGTGTGTCATGCCTTCCTTTCTTGTCAACGGAAAACTCTTGAAAGAAAGGGATAAAAACTTGTTTATTGAGATCCGTAGTATTCGCTTTGGAAACGCTTGCCCACAAACATACTGTGCTGAAAGAACAAACCCCATCATCGGTCAAAAGGCGTAAAAGATATTGAGTAAAGTTCTTAACAGGATTTTTTTTTGTAAGTTACTAAAATTGAAAACACTTTGGGGCCGCTGTAACCTTGACCAGTGACCGCACACAGACCAAAACCTTTCAAGAACCTGCCCGATTTCACGTTTCGCTAAACCCCGACAGTAGGGCGCCCACAAAACTGTCTCTTAAATGGTATGGAAGTGAAATGACAATAAAGAATCATTAATTCTAATAAAATAAGTGTTGAGTCAATTAGAGTTTGAAATTGGACTATGATGCAAACGTGACTATGCATTGCTAATTGTGGTTAAGAATCCAGCTAAGGAGTTTTAAAAATGTGTTGCTTAAGAGTTTAATTTTCTTTATGTTCTAACATGTTTTGAGCCCTTTTGTCAAACAATCGTTCTGGTTTTTTAAGGTATTGGACTGGAGCTTACGGGATGGAATTCAGTATATTTGCCCCACTAACGTGACATCGAAAATGAAACCAACTAGATCGGTTCTATTAATACTGATATGACATTTTCACGAGTCAATAGTCGGAAAGCCATTTCATCAACTAGTTTCAGCTTTCAATCTATGCCAGCCATCTACAAGACAAACCCTTCTTTTGCAGCAAAGAAATTTCTAGCCTGATAGGTTCTACCTACATGTTTAGTCAAGATAACCACAACAATACACAACCACACGTTCGCGAATCCCTCAAGAGCAATATTTTCTTCATATATTGAGCGCGTATATTTTTTAGGCAATTTCTGGAATAGAGTGGTTCGTAATTTATATGCCTTTTTTTTCTCCGAGGTTGTAAGAAGCGTGTTTCAGGTTTATTTTGGATGGGAAAGACTCCTTTTCTTCGCTCAGCGTACGGTAAACTAGCGAATTTAAATTCTTAATTTTCTAGTTGAGCGACCCAGCTGAAAAGCTGAAATTTTCACGAGGTTTAATTATCAAAAGAACGTCAGGAATCCGCGGTACTTTGGTAAATTATGATAGCTGAAGTTAGGTAAACAGCATGGAGTGCTACACCGCGCAACCACTGATAACCACAAGAATCAGAATTCCGATATTTCCCACAATGCTTTATCTCACTGAACTATCTTTGATTGCCTTTCTGAAATAGTAGGCAGCGATTAGAACATTCCAGCTGAATTCGAACAAAGCTACAAATTCAGTTACTACTGTTGAGTTTCTTTGCTGACTTGAAAATTTTATTTCATTTTACTTGGCGAATTCTCCCAACCAATTTACTCGGAAATGAGTAGAAGCCAAAAGGGAGAATACCGAATTATTAAAAAAAATATGATTTAAACGTTGCCTATTTTCAACATTACCTGACGGGGAGTTTTGATGTCATATAACTAACTTCAATTTTACTAAAACCGGTAATGATGACGATTCCCCAGCAGTTTTGCCGACGTCGAATCATTTTAGGGGGAATAGACCTTTTTCTTGGAATCTTTGACTTACTGAAAATTATTATTAAATTCGGACTAACGACGATTGTAACAGTGTAATTTAGTGTTATCAACTGAGAGTAGTTTGAACATCAAACCTAGAATATTGAGTTTTATGGACCGTAAATTGCAAATTGTTTGTGATACTTTAATATTATGCTATTTAATCCAATTTTATCCTATTTCAACCGAGTGAGTGAGAAATTGGACCACAACGCACAGATTGCAGTTTAGTGTATGTAAACTACGGCAACATGAAAACCGAAAGTATGTAGAGATTGTTGATTAATTTCTGCAAATACTGTAGTGACGTTTTTTTAAAGTTCAAGAATCGAAAGAACCTCTTTATTAACTATTTTTGGTTTTTAACCCTATCTCCAGACATCAAACCAGCCCATGCTATCCTTACAAATCATTTTACAACACAGGTGAAACGAAACCAGCTTTTTTGGCGATGATTTTACAGACTATGTAACCCAAATAAGGTTGAAATACACCGTTCAAGGCAATCTACTTTAACATCTGGTTCTTGTATTGAGCTCGTGTGTCTGCGCTTGAATGCAGAGGTTCGTATGTTTCGTCACTCTGTGGTCATTCAATGAGGGTTTTTCAGGTTTGTTTTGAAGGAAAAGACCCTTTAGATCGTCAACTAATAGTTTGTGTACTTAAAAAAACAATTTTCCACCTGAACGACTAAGAGAAATTCCGACCCAGGAGCCTAAAACTGTGACAGAAAGCTGAGATGCGCTTGAAGTCTAATGATCAGAAAAAACACAAGAATCTCAAGTAGTTTTATATTTTTAATTTATAAAAACACTAGAACAATTGACGACAAGGCACCAACCCACGTTTTCATCGAATATTATCTGTAATATAATCAAGCACTAAATACTAGGGCGATATTTGTTCAAATACTTCAGATTATTGATTGTTATCCGTACTTCTTCTTAATTACTTGGCGTACTTATAAACGTTCGAAAATAGCAACTCTTAGAAACATTCAAATGCACAGTTTGAGAAACACCGCGTTAACGCGATGCTTTCACTCCCTCCTTTGGCAGGATTTGTTCACTTTATTCGCTCCATGTAGAGCCCATCCTATTTATCATCCGCAGTTGAATTTCTAGCTTCATTACATTTTATTTTAGCGTCCGTGGTTATCTTGTAAACATTGAAAGATTTTTCCCCGGCAATACAAAAACCATTATCGTAACTTAGTGTGGGAGTGAAAGTAGAAGACGTAAAAGTATATAGGGGCAAACCAATGTTGGCCAAATTTTAGAATAGAAGGCGGAAAATGTTTGTGAAAACTTTCCATAGAAGCCATTTAAAGACGTAAGAGATTGTAAGATGAGAAGTGTTCATTAGTGTTTCCCGAATTAGCAATGACTCCACCCTGTGTCAACGTTGTAGGACTTCTGTTGACCATTAATCAATGAGAAAAAGAAAAAATAAAGTTGTATGTGTGAGTGCAGGCATTATTTTAAACAAATCCAGACTTTCAGGTCAAACCTTGACCTATTTCGTCACCGAAGATAAGAATAATTCAACCGAGAGAGTGTTTAGTCACGAAGCTGAAATATTACGTGATAATTTCCTTGAAAACGACGTCAGCAACGCCCATGAGAAAGTAGCGAAACAAAAGATTTAATGCGCAAAACAACAGTCCAACATGTGCGTTTTAAACTGTTTTGTACATTTCTTAGCCGCTCTATGAAAACAATAACGTGAAACCCCCAAATTTTATGAACTCTTAGAACGGAAGCCTCGATGACGAATCAGTCTTCACTGCATTTCCATATTAGGCTAATGGTGGGATCTTGCACTGTCAGAAACGGTAATTAGATCAAATTTCTGGCAAAATTTTCGGGGGAAATGGAAGTTGATTTTCTAGGCGACGTTCTCCTGGGACTTCACCTTCGTGAGATCTTTTACTTCCTCTTGTTAAGTTCTTTACACGACATAAACGAGTTATCGCGGTTAATCTAGCTTACGACAATGATTAGAGAGCACCTTTGATTAATAAAGACATGTTGTGTCTTTCTAAACAAAGAGATGTAAAAATAAACCACGCAGGGATTGGTCACTGGCGTTCTCCAGCGCTTCAGGCAGTTTGTCACTACTTCGTTTAAGTTCTTATTAGCTCATAATGATCTTTTCTTTCGTTCTGTTTAGTCATTGTGATAACTTTGGTTTTGTTTTAGGATGAGCCAAGTCATTAAGACTTTTGAGAATTTTTCCTCTCCGTTTCCCTCTGAGCCATTACCTGAGGATGATCACAATGACAAAGCCTTCGTCAAAGTCGATTCAAAATAAAATGACTCTCTTCCTCGAAATTCTTAAGAACAACACAATAATTTGATTCCGAGAAACTTGTTGCGACAATTCCTCTGTCATCATCAGTTTCAATCAACGCAGAGTACAAAGTTCAATATATATCATTACAAGGAATTGGTGCTATTTGGTACAACCACGGACGAAAACGTGGCGATGAATGGTTACAAAGAAAGACTTAAATCAACATGATACAGTTCATGCGGATTCAATGCGGATTTGCTTCAGTTGAATATGTAAAGCTAGATTCTCTGATATTGAAATTGTTTATTAAATGGGTGACTTCGATGTGTCCTAACTTGAAAATTGGATGAAATTTCATTCGGCCAAAATGGTCTGTAAAATGTCATTTGAAACCAGCGTAAACTTTCTCTACTTCAGTGCGTGATTTAGAACACGACTTCAAAATGACAGATATTTAAAAATATCAAGTACACTCCCAATGTTAGTTAACACTGACCAGGTGTTCTTTCTCGGGATTTCTTCCCTCGCTGGATATTTCCATCAATAATATCAGAATCGTTAGCCTTCAAATTTGTCAAACGTCTCCCAAGAACTCATTCATTTCATCCAACCATGAAAAAAGTCTCGAAAATTGGTGGTTATCAGCATTGGACGATGCACGTAATTTTTGGGTCCTCTCATATAACAAACTGCTAGGTTCATATTCCCGTGGACATAAAAAAAAATTGAGCACGTTTCACTGATGGTATTTTGTTTCTCAAATGTTGACATAGTTTTGATTAAGTGGTAGCAGGCCTCTCTGTGGTCCAAATATAAATCAAATATAAAACTATCAGTACACTTGGCATTAATTACTTTTTACTGCTATCATCATATCCTAAGTGTATAATGAGCTTAAGTCTCAGTTTAGATAATACAGTCATACCGTGCGGTAAGTCACAAAATTTTGCATTACTTAGTTCCTCTATATTCGATGGCGTTACAATATCTTGTCACTAAGTCTTCGTTACGTTATAAAATAACGTTGCTTTCCATCCTTTTTGCAACCTCGCTTTGAAGAGCCCAAAATGGCCCATTAGGCTTCGTAAAACTCATTTTTCTGAGTTTAAGAAGAGCTTGCTTCTAAATCAACGCACGGCTTTTTGAAGATTTAAGCTGCATCTACAATTTGCACCTAAAATGAACGATTTTTACGAGGTAGAATGATTATCCTTTTGCACTTGAAAATACTCAAAATCCGGTCATTTTTAGTTGGAAAGTCATTTTCAAGAGCGATTTTCTGAAAACTCCTATTACCCACGACAAATCAACACACGGCAAATGATAGATCAATCTCTTCTCTAACAGAAACCGTTTTAATTTTGAAAATTGGCCAACGGGAACCTTTATCCTTTTCAGTTTGAAAATTTTGTAGTCGAAGTTGCGTTCAAAAATGGCGCGTTTTGAGCAAGCGAGCTATTGTCTTCAGCCCAGCCATGAATTACAATGCAGCCTGTCAAACTAAACAGTGCCCATCGCTGAAACCCTTTCGCTTGTAAAATTATTCTTAATTACAGACTCAGTCAAATCATAACGGCGTCCATCGACCAACAAGCTGTTCGTGATCGGGAGCCGGCTCTTTTCAGAGCTAACTGAATCCCCGATTGCCCTGCAATCTGTATGCGATCGGGAGCTGATGATCAGTTCCAGTCCAGAGATAGCACTAGCATAAAAAGCTCGATAGTAACTGTGATCCTAAAATAGCGAATGTGATCGTATGCTCTGTTTCGTTCGCTTCGAAAAAACTTTGAGCGATTCAGAGACTTAATTTTGTGCTTCATTTTCGATAAAAGAAATTTTTCAATGAGACAATCGAATTCTTAGTGGGAAATTATAGAAAACACCCGCTGAAGCGAAATGTGTGTTGATTAAGTTTTGGCGAGATATGAACAAGTAATTTTCTATGATAAATATCGAACGCATATGGTCATTACAAATTCAACGCTTGCGATAACCAGAGTGTGCGCGCTAAGTGTGATGTCAGAAACAAAAGATGAAACAAAACGTCACGAAGCCTTTGTTTCTTTGCTCCACCTTGACAAGTTAATGAGCTAAGGCAGTATTCCCTTTGGAGGAAAGCGCACGTGATCTGCGACTAATGAGAGCCTTCCTGTTTACGCTTCACCGCTAATATTACAGATCTATGATATTTTCGCCACTGCGAATAAATGTTGCGAGAACAATAGGCATTCTGCGCAGTGATGTCTTCGTTTGAAGGTCTACTCTCTCAACCAGTGCGAAAAATTTACTGGAGAAGATTGTTGAAAACTACATTATTTCACAAGCCAATACAACAGGTGTTTTGTAAAATTCGCTTTTTGAGTTAATGGTCTTGAGGAGATGAAAACAATTTTTAATTCTAAATAAAGGTTTCCTTAAACTTAAAACTACTTACCTTTCCCCCCCTAACTTGTGACAAGCCGAAAACAGTGCCACATGCCGAGTTAACTCATATGCACCGCTGCAGAACAGTTTGCCGTCATCTTGGGTTTATGATGGGGGTGAGAACGCTGGAACTAGCACAGGCAGCCCAAGTTCCAGCTGTGAGGAAAAAAAAGAACAGAATCCATTTTAGCGAGTTATCCATTTCTGAAAACCAGCTTGGTAACCCTCTTGCCTCCTTTGTAAACCGTGCCTCGCCGGGGACCACACCGTCAATTGGCGTCAATAGATTGTTTTAGAACCACGGGTGCTAAGTGACGGTGGGGTCCCCGGTGAGGCACAGTTTGCAAAGGAAGCAAGGCTACTAAGCTGCTTTCAACAGTCGTGTGTCGCGATGAATGTGTGCGCGGGCCGTTATAAACGACTAAACTGGAAAATTTTGAAGCAAACTGCGACTTTGCGTCGGTTTCACGGGGAGGACTGAATTTGCAGTAAATTGAAATTAAACTACAGTATATATGCTTGGATTATGCGTTGGATTTGTGGCCGCACGGTCATTCTGAGCTTGGATTTCTCGCTTCTCGGATCGGGCGTTCGGAAATGGAGTGTGCAACATTGGGCTTCTCTTACATAGTAAACCAAGAAATGGATAACTCGCTAAAATGGTTCTTTTCAACATAGTAAGCGGTCAAATAACAAGTGATGCTCTGTGGAAGTAAGGTGATAATTTTTTTTTCCTAAGAGCGGTCGTAAATATTCCCATGCAAAGTCTTATAATTTCTCCAAGGCTCTTATTTCGCAAGATGATTATCTCACAGCTGGAGCTTGGGCCCCCTGTGAAGTGAATGGGAATGGGGGTGGAGGCGTGGTAGGGACGGCAGAGGGGAGGAGTGGGGAAAGAATTGTCTCTTCCCTTCTAATGTATAAAGTAAAAGCTGGAGACGCTGTTTGAGCAAATAAAATGAGAACATCATGAAAGTTAAATTCAAATAATATTAACATTAACGTGTTTCCAAGTGTTTCCATACATTTCAAAATGGGCACTTCACACCATCTCGTCTCATGAAAAACTAGATGTGAACGTAATGTAAGGCGCAAACTGTTTTGATATCAAGCTCTTAGTTGAGATACTACTCACCCCCACTCACCCCACTCCCTCGATACACGCTTTGTCATTTTCATTTGGTTCCAATATTCAACAATCAGAACATTGGGAAATAATTTATAAACTAGTAACGGGATAAGAACCATCCATTTTTTTTACATGAAGTTTAAAAAAACACGACGAGAAGTAGGCTCCTCATGCATTAGGTCTATTCTTTGTATAGTTCGACGCCAAGAATTGATCTAAATTTAAGACATTTCACTGAAAATCTATCGTTTCGTAAAGTATTTTAGATAAATCTGAAATAGTGGTGTCGTTAAATGTATAGATATGCTTCTATGATTCAACTTTCCTTTTAACGTCCCAGAAGTGATTAACATCTAACCTCTCCTCATAATATCCATAGATTATCCACTAAACAGGTAATGAGAATTTAACAGTTTGAAGTAGCTATCTTGATCTAACACGAAAATCTCGTAGTTAACTTACAACGAAATCTGTAGCAGCTAGAGGGGAGAATTAACAATATGATCTTAGGAGTTACAGGGTTAAGTCCAAAAAATTTGAAATGCGTTGAAATTAACGCGCCATTCGTAAAATATTTAGAAACATATTGGTTTTTACATTCAGCAGACACACCTGAGTATAAACATTAAATGTTAATTTCTTTCCTAAAGTAAGTTCTTTCATTTCACATGTGTCAAAAGACGAGCCTTTCCATGAATATTCAATTTAGAGAAAATTAATGTTTACATTTAGCTATTAGAATCTCCTTGCCACGTTCTGGCTACTCAGATTCCACCAGTTTGCATTGGTACTATCCTTGTCTCAGTCATATCTTACCATAATGTCATTCGTAATACATCTGTCACTGCTGAGTATCCGCACCTGATTTCATTTTTGTATCCTCCCGTGCCCACCATTCTACCCACCAGACTCGTCCCAGCATGACGTTTCTCTTTCGGCCAGGATGCGCCGCGCTGGCAGGGGTCGAACGATAGGACGGCAGCGCTTCAAAATTCTTTGGGATTGACGCCTCGTGACGTACTTCTTTCACATAAAAACTGGAAAACGGCCACCGAAGGTCCTGTGCTTTGCTATCGTCCAAACTTGAGGCCAAGTTATCTTCACGGTGGTTTTCCGTCGGAGGATTTCCGGTATCTTCCGATTGATTAGCGATTGGATCTTGTTTGGAACCGATCTTTCCTTCATCGGGCATGAAACATTTATAAATGGTGCGATATTTGTTTGCGTTGGATGAATCTCCGTTTGGATGAATAATGGGCCCACCGTCCATGAGTTCTTGGATCTCAGGGTCCACATCTCGTGCCATTTCAAAGCTGCCAGCCCCACTGGAGTTACCATCGTCATTACTTTCGTCGCTAGATTCTGAAGAAGAACCGTCGCTATTCGGCGGTCGTTCGTTTTCCGTACCCTTCATGGATCCGTTATCGGAATCGGCTAGTTCATCTGATCGTTCTCGCTTTATTTTCCTCATTGCCTTACGGACGGCAGTTTTAAATACTTTTTCCGAGTTGTTACTTCCGTTTCCGTCCGACTCGCTGTCACTTCCGTTGTCGTGTTTACAGATTTTCCTGACATGCGCCTCCAAATCAAACTCGTCTTCGGTTTCTTCGTCCGATGATTCCTCGTCGGACAAAATGGGGGATTCAGTTTCCAAGTTTTCAGCTGTGGAGCTTCCAGAGTCGCTAGAAGCCTCGCTGTACTGCCGTAAGATGGAGGCCACAACCTTCTTGACATGAGCCGTCGTTTCGGCATCCATCGGATCTACATGACGCTCTTCTTCCTTAGCAGCCTGTCTCCCGCTCTGAGCAAGCTTATCCTCGTTTATTTCTACTTGAATCTGCTGCATTGTCACTGATGGTTTCCTGAAACTACCAAGGAGCCGAACGGTTTGTTCTTGTACAGAGATGGAGTCCCACACTTCAATGTCATCGTCCAACGATCCTACAGAGCTTGTCAAACCATTCTGGTGTGACTTGGACACAGAACGAGTTGCTATCGAGCCCGCTCTCGATAGCTGGTAGCTCCTAGCATCTTCAGATCCTCCAGGCGTGGCTATACTGCCAGCAGAACCGATACTGCCCCTGGGATCGGAGTTGTAAGATCCCGCGCGATTTCTTGGACTGTTTTTACCCGTTGATGATTCATTATCATCCGAACTTACCATGTAAGCGCCCTCTTTACCTTTGCTCCAGAAGCGTTTGCGTCTAAAAATGGGCATGACTGTAATCAGAAGTAAATCTGAGCATATTTCTGATAAACAAAGCTGAGCTCAAACGGCATAGATCGCCGCAACCAAGCACGGCGCATAGGTACAATCGTTCTGAAAGAGAACAAACGTTCGCAATTAGTTGAATTTCTTTCGCTTTTTGAGAGATCGAAAAACAATTAGGCTGCTTTTAAAGCCAGCTGTACGTCAAAAACGTGACTTTTATTACTTTTATTTTAGTTTCTTTGCATTAAAAACATCAACCAGCCGACAAGTTAGACTTCCTGTTGTCAGAAAGGGAAATTTTCCCTAAAATGACAAGTTTTAATTTCCTCTCTCGGTTTTTCATGTTAAAAACGGAAAATCTCTTATAGACGATGAAAAAAATATTTTTAGCGTCCGTGACTAAGAGAGACGTTTTAAGAATTACTCCTTCACTTAAAATTACAAGATAAACATCAGCTCCGTTGCCTTCACTGCATCGACTAATTGAGAGCTTTTTGCGTAGGCGTCAAGGCTCAATGAAGCATTTGCAGCGTATGATATTGAGATGACGCGCAGGTGCTAAAATAAGTCGTTTAACCGGCACGATGTATCTCACTCGGTTATTTCTTACTTCACAAGTAAATGTTAGCTGAGAATCTTTGTACGAGAGTCACCTGTTTTCACACCGCTAACAGGATCTGGAAAAATTTAAGGCTCCTTACCAAAAGAGAGGTCGAAAACTTCCGCAAAAAGCCGTAAAACAAACCGTTGAGAGATGTCTAAGGTAGTTAAACCATCCGAATCTACCCACGCGTTATAAGAAGCAAACTGACCACCATAACGAATTTTTAAAAGCTGGCGCTTATTACGTACATTAAACTACATTTAAGAGCTAAAGGACCAAACGAAAGCTTGACATTCATAAAATTTAAGGCAATATGTAGAAAAGAGAATAGATAAATAGATCGAATTCGATTGGGTAAATAAACTATAAAACACGAAGATGCAATAAAATGCAATAAGACTGTAATAAATCAGAAAGAAAAAGCTACCAGGTAAAAACTAAGAGCTTCACCATCAAAAGTTAAAATTTCGCCCATATCCGTTTATGGGAAGAAACCAGATTTTGATCTGGCATTCGCAAGCTGACTTTTTAACTCTTTAACTACTATGAATGACCAGAACAGAATTTCTTCTGGCAATATCAATATAATAACGAGCCGACAGGTAATGAGAGTAAAGAAAAAAATCAATTAGACTACTATTAGTTGATCCAATACCAAATTCTCTGAACTAACATCATAAGATATGTATGACAGACAGAGGGGAGAAGTAAAGGAAACAGAAGTGGGAAATGAAGCGCAATCTTGGTGTGGGGGAAAAAATTTGGTAAAATTCATAGACCCTGCTGGTCGCGCTCTGCGTTCGGATTCATTTTCTTCTCTCTTTTATTTTGTTGTACACTGAGCAGACAAGCTCTTAGAGTTATTGCTGTCCACATGTCTTTAAAGAAGTTCAAGTTAATGAGTATTAAAGGCAGATGAAGTTTTTCACAATTACCAGGTGAGATGCGTCAAAAACGCGTCCTATGTTTTGCGGGCCTTAATTTGATTGTAGCTGTGAGGCAACAGTTTTTATTAACACCCAATGGTAGCTGGGAGAATATTGTAATAGCACATTAATTAATCGGCGTCTTGTAAACGTTATGAAAATTATTTTCGGCTTCTAGAGACATTAGAACGTTGATCAGAAAAAATGCCATGTGATTAAAATAAAACTTTTCTTATGACGAGAATTATGTCGAGAAATGTTGAAGATATATCCTCTTTGTACAGGATAACCCATGTAATATAGCTTGAAAACCGAAAGGAGTTTGACTTCAAAAACAAGAACAATAACAGAAGAATTTCTTGTTCAAGTGAAAATAAAGTGCAGCTCTTGTGTCGCCTGAAATCTGCCCTTTGCGTGTTGGATACACGAATTCTATTTAAAAAAAACGAATAATCCTTGACCTTGCAGATGACTATTGACGAATCGAAACTCGTTTGCAAACATAAATTTAAAACATTGCAGAAAGAAGCGCTTAATTTAAGAAACTAAGTTTTAACATAGCTTGTATCTGGGTCTCCCAGGTGCTCGTCCAGAGCTACTGCCAACCGACTTGCAAAGCCTCGTGTTGGGATCGAGGCAAAATGTAACTAGGCTCTGTGTCCCCGTAGATAGAATTGATTTCAGGCAAGATTTTATATATGAAATAAATTGTATACTGCATTACCACCGACTGAGCCTCGAAGGACATCACATCGTTAAGGATTTAATGGCTGGTCGGAGCTTAAATTCTTCTTTTACCATGTAAACGCACATCTTGCACACCTCGCAAACATATCGCACACATATCATACATATATCGCACAAATATTTCACACATATCCCACACATATCACACATATATCACACAAATATTGCACACATATCACTCACACATCACACATATATTGCAAGCACCTTGCACACACATCGCAAACATTTTGCACACGCATAGCACACGTTGAGGGCGGAAAAAAACGGAAAGAAAAGCCATTACTGGCCAACACATTTGTCACTCGACAGCCCTGAGAGGCTAAAATGCCCCGAATAAATCAAGGAATAATTCAGGACAGAATTTATTTTATTTTGGAAGGTACAACACTACACAATATATACAGAACCAACACCAGAAGGCAAAAAAACACACTCACAAAAAAAAATATTGATGTTTCTATGCAGCAAACAAACATAGAGCTCGATAACGACATGACCGATAAGATCGTAACCATAGTTGGAAATAGTTCAAGGCAACATTCATTAATTGTGCAAAGCACAAAACAAATAGGACAATTGTACTTTGCACGTTGACGATAGTTCAACACAGATGGTTTTTCAACTTCTACTCCCGTTCAATATTGACAAATTCTTCAATATCAAAACCATGTTTATATTTATACCTATTCAGATCCTTTCTTTGTGGCAATGCTAGCCAAATAATTGAAATCAACTTTGATAGAGTTTAAATTACGAAGACTTGAATTTTAATTTGCTAAGGGACGAGCCGAAGTTAAAAATATCATCGGAACCTGGTTCCATTACACCTGTCTCGAACAGTTAGCAATTTAACATCCACTTTCAAGATCACTAAAAGCTTCGTCGAATCCAGTCAATTCAAACTAAATTTGTTGTATAACCAGCTTCATTGCATAAAATTATTGATCGAACGATCGATAAAATGGACCTCGATGATAAATATTCGTCGATGTATAGAAATATGATACGAAATTCCATACCAAGCAATTTGTCGAAATTTTTCGTCGACTTTTGGTGCCTCTGGCCCTTAAAGCTAAACCCTTTGCGGTAATTATAAACGTAATAGTTTTATTTAACTACGACGGCAAAATCAGCCGAACTTTTGCTACGTTAAAACATTGAGGTTTCCTGCATTGTTATTAGAATAAATCGCAAGATGGCTTCGTACCAGAAATGCTGGCCTGTTATCATGAAAAACTTTAAAAGTTACAGAAACACTTAAATACTATTTTTTGAACAGCCATACTTCGAGACTATTTTACCTAAACTTACTTCCAAGTATTCAAGCTCTGAAATACTGGACACTCTTCGCCTCTGATTTCCAAGTCACTTCTATCTCAGCCAGCTCGGTTGCGAAATTAACAGTCACACGTATTCTTGCCTTAATGAAAATTGTAATGGTCTCACCTGTCACTTTATGCAAAGGCGATGTCATTGCCATGGAAACGACTCCAACCTGCAGGTGTATTAGAAGGTTTTGGTCACTTTCAATTATGTGAACAAAGCTCTTCTCCTTCGCTAATACTTCTATTGACAAAACAGACATTAACACAAACAGAAGACCAACGTGCTACAAAACATTTGTTATTTTCACTTCTTTATTCAAATTAAGCTATGCAACTACTGACTCAACTAAAACATTTTCTGGTTCCATATTGATTAAGCCGGCTAAAATGAAAACGAAAGGTAAAGGAATCTTTACCACAAAAAATTCCTTTTTTTTTTCTCTCGTAGGTATTCTCTTGGTCCTCAAAAAACGCAAAAGGAGATTAAAAAAAATCAACAATGATGAGAGCAAAGCCAGCGTCGTGCCATTGTCTGCGTCAGTTTCTATTTTGTAAAAGATGAAAGAAAAAACATGCAAAGACAATTTTAAACATGAGTAATTTTAAGTGCAAGCGGTAAGCATTAATTTGTTTTAAATCAACGATCTTCTGACGTATTTGCTTTTCAGGACGATCCTGGAAACGAAAAACACACATTACTGAACTGTTACTAACAATAGATTCATGTATGTTTTGAAATCGCCAAGTTTTCCTATGTCTGAAACACGTATGTTTTGAAGAATACGACTTTTAAATAACCTTTGAAGTCGGTTTTACCTCTGCCTTTGAACCTGAGAGCGGAAAATTTAACCGTGAGAGCAAACAAAATGTGACTGACATTCATATCACATAATTCTGCTTCAAAGTCAGGTCAAATGATAAAAATTATAGGGGGTAAAAGAAAACCAGCAATGTAATGCACTTAAACAATGACTGCAAACAAACAGAGATCTGAAAGGTACTTACTGAATTTTTAAGGGAACATTTTGTGAGTGAGTGGGCAACTTATTACATCATATACCTCTAGTTACTAATTTTTCTTTTTTTTCATTTTTGCATTTTTCTTTCAATATGCATCATTTTTTTATCAGGTTTTTGTTTTACTTTCTCAGTCTTGTTTTGAGTTCTGCCAATCAGTACCACAATTCCATGCTTCTTTCAGTTGGTGTTCCTGGAAGGCAACAAGGATCTCGTTCGTAAATACGATTTATAACTTTAAGATAGCCTCGGCACATTCAATATTTGTTAGCAAAGTTTGCCGAAATCTTTGCTAGGATATTTTTGATGAGCTTTACTAACATTTATCGATTCATTATCAATAATCGATTTTGCCATGATGTCTCCACAAATTGAATAAAAATTCACTGAGCCCTCTCAGGCAGTTTGATACTGAATTAACTCACCCACCCCTTGTGGTTTACGTCACGTTAAACATCCCCCCGCCCCCTCCATGAGCTTCGGTAATCATCACCGACAATCAGTCGATCACAACCGACCAAACGCCAAATCGAGATGCACTCCAGAAATTACCAAACCAAAGCCTTGCTGTCTTCCGTAAATAAAACCATAGCAACAACAACTAGTTTGACAAGGTAATGAAATAGTGTTAAAAACCAATTTCATTCAGTCAACGGCTAATAATTTTTTTTTTTTTTTTTTTTTTTTAAGAAAACAGCCTTTAAGTCACGGAAAATTCAAAATAATTTGTCTACTTGACAGTCAAAAATTATAAATCATTTTTAGTTACAGATATTAGGCATCAGTCGTTGGGCAATTCTGTTGATTTAAAATTCTTTAAGAACAGTCTGATCGTAGGAGAATTGCTTCTTTACAAATAAATTTTGAAAAACAAATATTACTTAATGGACGGATGCACTTGGGTCCAGTTCCTTCCGCTAATGTCCTCATTTGGTGTTCCTTCTATTTGGATGCGCTGTTGATGAAAGTGCTAAGATCACGAAAGAAAATGACTGCAACAATATCAAGGGATTATAATATCTTGAACGATATTTGTTTGAATTTGGTTTTAAGGTTTGGTATTAGCATGTGAAAAGCTTTTAGCATGGAAAATGCGCCATCAACACCTCGTGAATTAATATTTACGATTTTTTTTCACGTTTGCTCATTATTTTAGCGTGATGTCAATATTGTCAATGTGGAACAATGCCAGGGTTTGCCGGTGTCATAGTTTTGATGCTCCCTCCAATAATCGATAATCAGACATTACTTTCAAGCACACTACTTGTTAAACAAAAAACAGTTAGCTGTTGCGTATGCATTATGTTACATTCAGTCTGTGAATGATATTTGTTAGTCTGCAGAACTGCAGTAGCTGAAGAGCCGCGCTTTTCCGATGCTCCTGTGTGATTTTTGACCCTTTCGATTCCGGCAGAGTCTAACTGAAGTTAATTACTACTTGCAATATCACAACATTTTAACCCCTCACCTCCCAAGAGCTGATTGTTAATTCTCTCCTCTTGCTGTTACATAATTCCTTGTAAATTAGTCACGAGAATTTGGTATAAGATCAAGATAACAACTTCTTCCTGATAAGTTTGAGTATTCTCATCAACCGTTTGCTAGAAACCGTATGGATATGTTAGGGAGAAGTTACATGTTTGTCACTTCTAGGAGTTGAAGGGTTATAAGTAGAAAAGTGATGATATGAAAGAACATAAATTAAGGCCAGGATAAAATTTAATTTATAGCCAAATTATTAGAACTGAAGTTGTGCTAAATTTCTCGCAGACAAAACGGAGAATTTAATTCCAAATTTTAGTAGTTGAAGAGTTTAATTCCAAAACACACCTGGACACGTACAACTGTGAGGCAGCGAGAAAAAACCGTGGTAACAATTCGCTTTGTGAAACGATGAGGATTTTTGTAAAAATAATATGTCCCAACAGGTTGCGAAGACTCAATTTGGCTTTGGTACCTTTATTTCAGCGATATACTTAGTCCCAGCGACTTGCAATACATGCAAAGCTGTTTGTTGGAAATAACTGCTGCGGCGACTAATCGCCTGGTGACTTGAATTGGTAGTTCGTCCGTACATTGATTTGTAAGTCACGCAATGATAGACTAAAGAAACTTTTACTTCATTAAAAAAGCTGAGTACAGTGAAACAAAATAAATTAAATAGTTTTTCATTTGGGCTTAAAAGTCTTTTCCTATTTTTTTTTTCTTCTTTCATAATCATTTTCTCTGAGTGTGGCCGCGATATTTTGAATATTTCAAACTGGCATAAAAATTAGACAATGTTGTCTCCGTTGTGTACGAAAATGTCATGGGAACACTTGACCTCAACAATATCAGCCTCTTACGATCACGCAAAAGTAGAATTGTTTTGTAAAAAATATTTGACTTGTCATCATGATTATGTTAATGTTTTGATCTCCTTCACAGTTCACTTCTTCCACTCTTCTTTGATGTTATCGAAGTCTTTTTCTTCTTATTTTCTTTTACCAATGGTTCGTCGCCTCGATAAAAATATTTACAAATAAGCTCTATAAAAAATCGTTTCCTACTATCTTCTTGAAATAATTTAAGGTGTGATCAATAGATACAAAACTATAATACATATCTTGCTAGTCCATTGTTTTTGCAGATGAATACAGCTCCTCGTGCTCTCAGTAAAAATTCTCATCCAGCACTTATCAACTCTCACTGCGCGCTCACCACGACATCTTCGTATTTAGGCGGTGGACAATAAAACAAGGAACTGTATGATGGTGGAGGCATTTCCATACTGTACGAGTCTTGGTCGCTTGTTATAGCTTGATTTGTGCTTCCGCGAACCAGTGTACCATTGTAGGGAGAGGAAATAATTCTTATGGCGCTATTTGAGTTTGGAGGCATCCAGTCCTCAATTCGGCGATCTTGTGGTCCATTAGAGAATTCCTCCACATCAGTCGATGAAGAAATTGTTCCTTGATTATTAGTGTTACTGTCGAACTCGCTGTTTCGTCGATACGTTCCAGATTCGACACTGTTTTGTTTACTTTTCAAACAACTGAAGAGACGCTTACGAAAAAAGCATGCCATGATCACTAACGCCGCCAGCAACAAGCCAATGGGAACAGGCCAGATTGAGTTAAAGATCGAAGAGAGTCGCATAAAGCTTCGATTGCACTGTGTTTGTGCTTTTGTAAGTAGTTCAAACCTCCTCTGACACCGCTACAAAGCGAGACAGGAAGAGGAACAACTTAGGCAAGCTTCGTGGAAAAATCTGACGATTATTCCAAAGAACCAACTCAGTGAACAATGCGACCTTCCTGTTTTGGTGATCTCTAAAAGGAACTGTATTGACCCCGTTTAAACGACAACAGATATTCCCTATTTTGGGGCTGATTGCTACATTCATACTTATTTAATTGTTATAAATGACGACAACTGGTTCTTGGAATATCTCAAAGTGCGTCCAAATGCACCAGCTGTTCCAATTCAGTCGCAATATCACATTCAAGCCACGTGGGTTTATGATAAACAGCCATTTTTTTAAACAGCCAAAATTAATGTTACATCCACAGAGTAGTTTAAAGTTTATCAAGCTTAAAGTATCGTGTGTCTTTCCATTATTCAGTAGCTGCCTACATTTTCTTTGCTCACATCGGTTCAGCTTAGATCCCATTTGTTCTGATTCGCTTCAGTTAGTTGATAATAAAAACAAAAAAATTAATTTGACAACTGACTGACGGTGCAATATTGCGCGTTGAGATGTATTGTAGCGGCACAGAGTCCACTTAAAATCAAAGTAGTCAATTTAGCGGCCACCACGAGATTTGAAACCAAGAATCGGAGCTAAAAAGCATTTTGATCAGCCTTGTTTGTAAAGGACATGGTAAATTCTTTTTGGAGTCTATAACTTTCTTGTTTTCCTGTTCTTCACCAAAGTTCGATGAATAACTTGGAACTAAAAGCACCATCCGGTGGTTCTATTTACGGAAACGGAAATAACAATTTTTGAATAGTCGCGTAAAAAAAAAATATTTGTGTTTCGAAAACTTTCAATAAAGAATTATCACTTCCATCTGCTCTGCTCCTGTAAATAACACCAGTCCACAATAAACTAATTACGTAGAAACTACTGTATGGTTTACAATTAACGCCTTTATTTCCACGGGCTTTCCTTTGATCTCCGCGGAATTTTTATTTGAATTTTTTCTTCTAAATATTTTTGTCAAAATTTAAAAGAATCATGAACTATGCTAGAAAGAGAAGAATGAATACTAAATTTGGTCACACTTTATGCCAATATTTCACGCTATTGCTTGAGGCGCATGTCAATTTTCCGATTTTGGACCGTTCTATTTTTCGTTGATCTGATCGCGGAGGAAGCTAATCACAACGAGATAGAAGAACCCTCTAAAATGTGCCCCGCTCCCATTGCGTAGCTTCGTAGCTCTGTTGGTAATGGCGCCTAACAAGTATCTGGGTTCGAATATCGTCGAAGCTTGAAATTTTCTCAGACGTCTTTTCTACAATTGCCTAAATTGCAGCTCACCTCTGTGGGTCATTGCTTTGCTTGATTTACTCATTTCATTATTCATCACCCAATCAAAGTGGAGCATCCGCACTCACCGCGGCGAAGAGAACCACATTTCAAAATACTTACGCCAAAAGAGTACGTCACCTCAGGAATTGCGTCACGGAAGGAGACCGGAAAGAGGCACTCACTCACCATCAGTTACAACTGACTGGCTTGAGCTGTCCATACATAAAGAGAATTGTGTTATTAATTAAGGTGTAGTTGTCTAAAGGGCAGATGACCTGCCCATTTCACAGAATAGAGACTTATCAAGCAGACAACGCTATCCATCCTTCGAACAACCGGGGCCAGAACTTCCCAACAGATCGACTCTTTGATTACTGAAGTGTATCTCTTGCACAGGCGGCGGAGTAAAGAGGCTGGACTGAGAGGCTGTATCTGTTAATTACTGCCACCTTTATGCGTCGTCACAAATCCATGGACTTCTATGGACATGCGTGTGTCAACGAACTGCGAACAAGAATTTTGGGAAATCCGAGTGAAGATATTTACTTAGTTTAAAGTAAGATGAGCCCTTCATCTTTTCAAGACGGAACGCCGCTAAGGCACTCCTCTAATGAATCATTTAAAGAAAAAAAGATAGCCTGAAGAAAGTCTCATCTTAAGCATCTCTTTGCACACTTTTTAAAGGCTTGGTGGTCAGTTCCGAGTATAAGTGCCCCCAGTTAGGCGCAGAAACCGGAATCTGCTAATGATTGTTTTAGGAGCGAGAAAGATGGAATATGTCGAAAATATTCCTTGAGTTTCTGAAGTACTCCAAGTACTCGACAGGTTCACGTCTTCGTGACAGTCATATTGGTCGTGAGAAACACAAGAAAGCTATAAGGCCATATTAGCAGTCTGCAGTACAAGCTTGTAGGAAAACTTTTTCAAGTGTAATGTATAATACAAGCTAGTAATCGTTTAGCAAGTCGTCAGGTTGGATGGTAGGTTTTGAATTTGCAGAGGGAATGGGTGTACAAAATTACTCTTATGGAAGCTAATCCCTTAAAGTTTGTGCTGACAGTTACATTGATTAGGGTGAAAAATTTAAGTCCATCGCGGTAGAAACAGTTCTTTCTACGAAGCTTTCCTTGGGCGGCAAAAAATCTTGGAGATAGGCAGATGGCAGCGAACTACTTCGCTTTGATGCAAATTATTAGGCTCAAATTATGGCAAACAAGCACGGGCATGAACAGTTTCCAGTAGGCAAGATCCAATGAGTAGTTTGACCACAATCGCATTTAGTAAATGAAGCAAAACAAAAACGTCCTCTCTTTCAATTAACAGCGACTAGAATTGGAGAAAAAACGGTTAAGATTCCGCACAGACCCGTACTACTGTAAACCATAGACGTAGTCCCAAAGGCAATCTGTTTTTCTTTATCCAAGAGCTGTATACATGATTAAGTATGTGGCTAGCACGAAATCTTACCGAAAAACAGCCACTCACCTTAATGCTTCAGTTCATCGTGTAGGGTATTGTAACTCTAAATAGTTTTCAAAGATTCCCTCATCACCTTTCATGCAAGCTTCGTGTTCGAAGTCTCGAGTTTTCCTTATCCCAACTTAAGTTTCTTTTAACAGATTTCTACAATTTTAGTGTCACAGCGATAGTATTTAAGTTTTCCTCTGAAAATTTTCGCGGGAAATCGCTGCGCGACCAGCCAATTTGATCCTTATGCGCATACCCAACGTTTGACCGCTGTCTTCCCTTGAACAGGATACGTCACCCACAACTCAGGACACAATCATTACCTCTGAAAATCTTGTTAAAATTTTATGAATCATAATTTATTTTTAAAATTCGTTCTGTACAATTCTATGTTACTTAATTCATAATTGACCTTTCTGATGCAAATTATTTACAAATAGTATCTGACTTTCAATTTCCTTTTCACTCGATTTCTAAGAACGCGTACAAAATTTACCATATATCTAGTGCATCAACATAATATTCACTTATACGGACCCATCTGAATGCATAAAAATTCCCCTTGGAAAAAGCAATGAACGTATGTTGAACCAAAGTGGAATTTTGATACATCGACTTGAGCCAGTTTTATAAAATCCTACACCATAGCTAACTCAGGCCCCTCGCTCAAAATAGATGCGGGCAGGTACTGGGTCCAGCAGTGGGTGCTTCCACAATTAATTGATGAATTATTTTTAACGATAGAAATTTTCAGGCCGTTTATAAAATTATGAGAACCACGAAGTTCAAATGCTTGTTAACTTATTCCTTTGTTTTAGAAATTGATTTATGTTCCATGAAACATAAACTAGTGCATGAGCAGTTTCTCCTTTTGGCGAAGTTCCTCGCGCTAGTGAATAAAATTTAGCGAAAAAAATTATGCTCACGCGCCGCGTGAAACTCTAGGAATGAAAACCAATTATGTCGCTTAGTATGTTAAATTCGACTGATAGCAATCACTTACAACGCGATCGATTTGCTTTTGAACTTCGTGGTTTGCTTAATCAATAAAACCGCCACTATTTCGTTACGTAGATTAATTATAAAATTTCCATTTAATTTCGTAATAATGCGATAAAAATTACTGTATGATAATGATAAATTGGGATACGAATGAAAACAAACAAAAAAAAAGAACTGTTCTGTGCCTAAGATAAAAACATCTTAACTTAAAACTATGAATTTTTCTAGTAGGTGTCTACAACATAACTTCCAGTTTAACATCTTGACTGTTCTCAATCTCTAAATTTCTCTTGCCACCAAAAGTAAAATAAACAGAAAAATTCCGATGACAAAAGACACTTCCTTTCCAATCACAGATACTGACTTTCTAGGTGCACGTTAGTCAAAGGGCTTTCAATAACCGTTTTCCATGAGCGGAAGCCGATGGTATAACAGGCTTTTCATGAAACCCCTGATTGAATACACCTTCAAGTTAAAAACCTTTTAATCTAAGAAAAATTTGATGAGAATGCGTTTGACTATGCCTAAAACAGCTCATCCAACACGACTTAATCTAAATCACAACAACATCAGTTTTGAATGCACTTAAGTCTCTTTCGCAACGATGCCGTTGCTTCTATGCTCGTACACACTGGAGCAAACTAACACTTCAACGAATGATTCGGAACAAAGTATACGGAACTGGTAAGCTCTTGATTAATCGTACAAGAAAATAAAAAGGCGGAGAAAGACGGTTGCGAAAAAGTAACTACAACGCCTAGCCCTTCCCCTCCCCCCCTTCCTTAACTTCAATGGTAACTTACTTGAAAAGAAAAAAATCATTTGCAAAGGAGACTTGCAAAATGTGAGCGGCTTCTATGCCACTTAAGAGATTGTTTCGATAATTTTGGGGTAGCAGATCCACCCACACTCCCAATACTTGGTTGTGCTGTAGCCTTGAACACATGTAACTAATCTTCTTCGAAACCTGTAAGGTTTAACTAGTGTCTATCTAGTAAACAACTACGAAACTAACATGAAAGTGTCCTACTACACTGCCTTAAAAAATTCTCGCCAGGAAGCGATCGAGAATTTGTTTTCAAAAAACATGCTTTAAAGCTTACGTCTGTGGGTATGACGTCACTAGTACACGTATAAAATCATTTTTCTGTAGGAATGAGGTAACGAACACAGTGCCAGCTGTAAAATCCTCCGTAATTTTAACCAATCATTGAAATAGTGACATTTATGTATGATAATTAAAATACACTAACAAATGTGAATGCAGATTTAAAACAAATTATACGAATATTGAGAGTTGGCTAGAATGCATAGCATTTCTGACTGAATGGAGGAGCAAAAAATATTTAACTACAACTTCACAAGAGGGAGATATATCCAAGATTTATCACAGAGTCGAACAACAATTGTCGACTACTCATTCAAGTTGATTTGCCTTACAAATTAAGGATTATAATCGCAATTTTAGAGTGTGATGGGGCGTGGTCTTAGCCGACTAATTTGTTTCGTACGCTGGTTTTGGAAAAAAAACCCTTGAAGGTTAAAAACCAGGTTTTTTTATACACAATACAAAGGTACAAAACTATATACCTAGCTACGGAGACTATTCACGAGTTTGTTCTAAAGCACGACATACAGTACCCTCTACAAATACAACACAAAACCTTCATTTGAATGCCCACGAAGCAGAAGTACACGCAAATACTCAAAAGTTATTTTCAATTGAGAATTTTCTATGAAGCGTAAAAGGTTCGAAGCTAAAAATGTAAAGGATATTCTTTTACTGAAAAAATCCACTTTTATAGAGAAATTCCTAAGTTCATCGATTCTCTTAAACCGTGCTCTACGTTAGATTTCGTTTCCAGAACTGATCCTAAGACGCGTAGATTTATAATAAAGGAATTGAAGTTGGAGAGAAATAATACACCGGTAAGAAAGCTGTATCACACCAAACGACGCCAACTGACAGAAAAAGCTATTAAACGCGCGACAAAATGATAAAGTAATATTTAAATAAGCAAAAAAATAGTTTATGCAATAATATTTTACCACACAAAGCGACCCCTACTCACAAATACACTTAATACCCGAACGTTAAAATAATAAAATAACACGTACATATTCAACGAAAAATGGTTTAGGCAACGTAACTGTTGGTTACATCAATTACTGCACTTGCGTATGAAATGGAAATGGTAGTCCTGAAATCGTGAAACATTCGGCGGGAGAACTGTGGTACAGGTAACATTAGCTTTACGCAACAATACCAGACGAAAATGATACGTACTCTGGAAATAATAAGCAACAGGAAGCTGCCATCTGTGACTCATTGTCCATTTGTCCTATGAAAGCGAAAAATAAAATTTAAAAAATAGACAAAGGTATGAGATTTAGGGCAGACGGAAGTCGATATTTACCTTAACTTTCGCTGCGGAATAGCCGGTGACCCAACAGTTACCAAGTTAGACTTCGGGTCGAGAGGTCGGATTTTTAACGCAAAACACTTTACTGTTCAAGTACTCCTCTCAATCAAACACATATAAATGTGTTGAAATATTTTTTTTCTCTTAAGTTGGCCCTAGAGTAACCTAGGCTGCAAAACAGACGTACGTTTTCCAGTCGAACGAAGGCAAGTGCGAGGCGAGCACGAAGCGCGTCCTCCCTCGCGGGTCACACGCGCTTTGCGCTTGCTTCGCGTTCGCCTGAAAAAAGAAAAAATTTAAAACTGTTCTGCAGGTTGGGAGTAACATTAAGTCCCTCGAAAAGTTTTCTTCAGCAAAAACCACCTAACAAATAACTAGCCTCAAGAGTGCATAAAAGTATTTGAAAAAATAAACCTTTACAAATGCTGGGGAACCTAAAAAATAAGAAAAAAGGCGAGACAAAAATGTTGTGTGAACTTGTGAATAAACAGCCATCTTACCTGATCCTTTTCAGTATCAAGTTTTGGCGGATTCGTGCTGTCTTGGCAGCCATCTTGTGGATTGCATTTCGTGTTACACAACAACACCAATGAACTTCCAGTGGAGCTGTAAATTATGCAACAGCTATGTATTAGACTCAGTTACAATATAAAAAGGTCATTATAGAACCACACGAAAAATATCACCAAGAGACTAAGTTTTTCTCCGATTCCAAAACCTCTTTGGTTTGTTATATGATAGGTTTGACATCGTGCACCTCGAGCTGATGGACCTGATTCTGTTTGAAAGACACTATTGTATGTTAAGTATAATACTTACTTGATCTCGAGAGTTATGGGTTTAAGCGGTAAGTTGGGGCTGACTGGAATGTAAAGTGAAGAATTCTGAGAACTGAAAACAAAGAATAAAGTCAGATAAGAGAGAAAAAAAGGCAAAAATATGGCAAGAGGCAATTTAAGTAAGCACCAACCTGTTCTCGTTCTTGATGGGGTAATTTTGCTCTAAAATTCGAATTACTGGATCGCGTAATTGACCAATAAGTGAGCCTGCGAGTTTAGGAAAAAAATTGAAACTTCTAAGAATTGTAATATTAATTATTCTTCCATTTGGAAAAACAAACAGACAAAAAAACAGAGAACCTCAAACAGGTTTCTCTCTATCAAATTGTTCTGATCTTCAAAGATGTCTTTTTCGTGTAAGTTTCGACGCCGAACTTTCCACGAGCCGAGCGTAATTCAGCTGCGTCAGTATAATTGTATTTGACCCCTAAGAGCAACTACTATCTACTTCCTCCTTAAAATGTCACCCCTGAATCTTGGTTGTTAAACAAATTCTTTTTGTCAGCTCCTTAAGAAATGTACGAATACGAGTATGGAGAACATGTATACTGATGTTAGGGTATAAGGGGTTAACGGTTGTCGAAAATTACTCTCGATCGGAAAGAAACCTTTACATAACAGATTTCCAAGGTAGAACATTAAAGAAGTAACTAAAGTGTCCCGGCTCTCAGCATGCGCTTGTAAATCACTCTCGCATTTAACAAAACAACCTCAGATGATGAATCGGACGACTTTGAAATTTAATGCATTTACTTTCATCTGCACGTACAACTGGTGGTTTGTCAACTGTTGGAAGTTATTCAAGACAATCATAATTCGGAAATTCATCGTGATAGCTTAAACCCAAATAACCTCGGACTTCGAAATCAAACAGTAACTACATATCAAACAAAAACAAATGACAAAATCCTACTTAACCAACTAAATACTTCCTAACAATCTCAGAATTGCCCTCCTGTTATAAGTTTCTCGTCGGTTAAGAACACAATTTTGAGCCTGAGAATTAATCCAATTAAGCAGTTAAGCAAAAGCTAATACAGAGTATGTACTCACCCCTAGGTGGGGTGGGGCTATCGTAATACACCTCTTTGCCTCTGAGCAGTCTTTCCTGTTGATTAGTGTTGGTCTGTTTACAACAATGCCTCGATCTTGGTGGGATTGTTCTACCCTCGCTCGCAGACGATTTCAGTTCTTGGATAGGCTTGATCACGTGGGTAGTTATCGGAGAGGTCTCGGGCGATGTCCTTGCTGCAGATGGAAGAGATCATCAAAGCAATCAGATCCAAGTTAAAACACGCGAATGAATATCTTACTCTAAAAACGTGCATTGTTAAGGTAAATTTTTAAGATGGCGTTAAATATCAAGGTAGTGTTTCTCAAAACTAGCTGCCAAGCACTTCAAGAGGACTACAAATGAGAATAAAAAGAAACGTCTTACAAAAAAATCTTTCAGTTGACAATTTCCAAATATTCTGTATATAGTTCCCGCTGGTTACAGAATTAAGTGCGCGAAAGAAGGAAAAGTTTTATGGGCAGCTGGCCACATGACCAGGTTTTTATAGTAAGCTTTACGAAATGAAAACATGTCTTTACACCTTATAAAGGAGGACGCAAATGTTATTTCTTTATTATTTTATTTTATTTTATTGTTTTTCGCACCGAAAAACAATTCGCAATTGAAGAAAGATTCATTGTTCAATTTGGGTGTATTCCCTATGTAATAAAGCGCACGTTGTAAAGACCTTCACTGCCCATGTTCTGATACTTCACGAGAAAACCCGTGCTCCTCTTGACCAATCAGACACGAGGCTATTATTTTTCGCCCGGGGGAGGGGGGATCAGAAGGCTCTGTCATATTCTACTAATCCCCCCCCCCCATTGGCAGTTAATTGGCAGTCAAATTTTATACTCCCCCTTCGTACTCTTCATGGTGATGCCTGATCCCCTTTCCATACCCCCTGAAAACCATGTGATTCTCCCTCTCCCCCCAAAAAAACAAAACAAAACAAAACAAAACAAAAACAAATAAAGGGAAAAATTCTTCGATCATCCCCCAGGCGATAAGCACTGAATGGTTTCTAAGCACTCTATGAACACGTAACAGCTTAACACATTTTAGAGAAAGTTACCTCGTGACACTGAAGTTTTCCTCGGTACTGAAGAGGTGCCATGTGCAACGAAGGTGTGGGAAGGTTTCTTTTCTGTGCTGTGTTTCCTTTCATGTGTTACTGAGCTTGTTACATATGGTGGTGTCGAGGAAACTGTCTTATTTACAAGCGGAGGCGATGTAATCATCGAGGTAGACTTTGGAATAGATGATATCTCAGTTGGCGACCAACTGGGTGATTCTGAGCTGTTGATCCCAACACTACCGATCGAACCTTTTTCATGATTTGATGGATTATTATTTTTAAGAGATAAAATAACAGCTATCCCAACAAGGCTGTGTCAAAAAGGAAAAAAAGTAGAATCGTTCACTTAATGGTTTCACCTCATCAAAATACATCTAAGAACCTTTTAGGAAAGCTACCCTTAAAAAAAATACAATAAACGAATAATAATAATAATAATAGCCACAACAACAACAACAACAACAACAATAATAATAATAATACATTATTATTAAAAACGCTTCCCTGAAGGAAAATCATAATTGAAAACTAACAATTATAGTAAAAATATAATTATATTAAATCATAATTTAAAAATCATCACAGTCCAAATGGGATAGGAAGTATAAAAGACGCAGCGATTCAAACTGAGGATGTCGCCTTGATGTGACATCAAATTCTCTTTACTGATTACCGAGGAAATGTACAGCATCTGGAAGGGAGAACTGCGAATTCACCTCAACAGCTAGAAGATCTAATCTTACCTGAGAACCACGGAGACTATAAGAGAGACAATAGTCAACTGCATGAACCTGGGCGAGCACCATACTGGCTCATCATGAACAACTCCGTGAGGTCTCTGTTGGGGAAACAAAAATCCAGGTTTTAAGATGTATGGGTTTCAATAACATCCGTTTATCGGCGGTCTACTGCCGTCTATTTAGTTGTTTGGGTTTTGCCTTACGCGTTCGGCACAGCCGCCTGTTACACCATTGGCGGCCGCCTCCGATCAGAACAAAGGAAAATATCAAAAGAGGCCGATGAGAATCAACGTAAAAAAAGAGGAAAATCGCCTGAAGCGCGGGAAAACGCGAGCGACCAAGTCGCGCTTGATTAGAGCTTTGATTCCAATTGGTTGAGAAAGTGGCACGAGTTGTCTGGACCAATCATGCGGCGAAGTAAAGCTAAACCAAAGCAATCTCGATTACTTCAGACAATGAACGGAAAATTTCCCTCATCTAAAAATAGGAAGTACGTACACATGCGCAGTGGTGATGATGGTGACAGTGGTGGTGATGATGGCATCTCTTTTTACGTTCTGGAGTTGGCTTCTTACTGCTAATTGACGCCCTGCAAAATTATTGTTACTGTATCATCAGAGAGCTACGTTCTAAGTCGCTTAGGGTTGTAACAATTAATTTCTTCCCTTATGGGCTGGGTAGGTCAGCCATTTCCCTTATTCTTTACCTATGAAGCCAAGTGTAATGAAGAGAAGACAGATTATTCAAATAATACGACTACACGATAGAAAACGTGGTGTGGGAAGCCCTTGGCAAGACAACATGGCCTTTCTTCCCTTTCCAGAATTTGGTCTGTGCTCGCAACACCACGATATCCTCGCTCCGAAAGCTGCTCTGTTTTCGCCAAAACAACTCTTGTCTATGAGAGCGGATTCCCGCCAAAACTACACCTCCGAACGCTCCTCCCCACTACTTTCTCGCAAAAACGTTCTGGTACGAGAGCGCGCACCCTTTAACTATTAAACTACTATTAAACAATTATTAAAATTAAATAACGTCACTGGCAGATCTGTACAACTCACCTGAAGGAACTACACCTCGACAAGCTCAAACTACTAAACGTGCTAACAGTATCACAGCGTTTTCGTTGTAGTTTTTGATTCATTGTTTCCAGCTCGTCTATTCTGACCTCTAGATTGTCCTGCAAGGGTTACAAGCAACAAGACGTTATTTCATGACCAGAATAACTTCTATTGTTTCTCAGGCATAAAATCTATCTATAACTAAGGTCTCAATACGTACTCTCGTTTCATTGTAAATTGCGAGATTCGTTTGGTACAAGTCCATACTTACCGTCAGTTTACACAACTCTTTGACAGCACCAACGTTTTCCATGAAGATTCTTTCCTGTGCAGAGAGAATTAATTTTCAAAAGAATGAGTACAACGAATAACTATACTATATGCTGTACTTCTGAGCAAGACAATTAACCACCAACGGCTTTCTACCTAAGTATTTACCGGACAGAATCGAAAGTTCCGCGGGCGGACGCTGTTCTTAAACTGACTGAATTAAAAATGTAATTTTGCTCTTCACTAAAAGGAACTTATGTCATTATTTTTTATAAAGTGTAAAGCAACCTTTAGCTGAAAGGAAACTAAAAAACATTCGTTCGATAACGTGATAAAACCACAAAAGAAGTACATCTATCAAAGAAGTAACAACAAACCACAAAGAGCAGTAAAGAATGGAGAATGCAAGAATTTCTTTAAAATGACGACATTAGCTTGTCATTTCGTAAAATGACGAGGAAATGTCCGATAAGTACTACACTAAAGTGTGAAACCGACGAAAGCTCCCTTGGCTAGTAAAGTATCTTACAGGTTCAAGATCATTAATGTTCACTGCACTGACAAATGAAGAAATCATTGATCAAACTTACTTTATTAACAACCAAAAATCTCTCTATCGTTTTTCCGTCGGGTAAAATTACATCTTCCTGGAAAAAATATTTCAGATAAGTGTTGACAGAAATGCAAAATATTAAAGATGTATAATTAGTCACACTGTGCCATCACCATATGAATGTAACACAAGGTATTACTTGTCCTCCAAAACTCTATAAATGTCAAGCATTAACGACGCAAGTTAGAAAGTGATTTCATACTGGATTAATCCCTAAAACGAATTCTTTTTAAATGAGTTTAATCTAGAGGACATTTGTCGACAAGTGACTCCAAAATAAAATATTTCTGTTTTGCAAAATGGTTCAAGTTTTACTGCAACACCGAAATTTACTATTTTCTATTTACCACAACCGGTAGCTAACAGAAGACATTGTACACAGTAGACCACAGTATACATTGTTTCAAACTTATCAAACTTGACAGCCAAATGATCTATATTGCTGTTACTGAAATGAAATTCTTTCGCAATTTCACATATCATAAAAGTCTTCATATCAAAGACCACGCCACGCGATTGGACCAAAACCCCCAAGTTAACACTGTATTACAACTGTCAGAACAGCACGATATAACATAGTCCCTACGTGGCCCACCATGGAAACATGACACCAATATGGGAATGATGAAGGTATAAACCACTCACTGATTCCTTCACAGCCTCAGGTAAGACTTCCTTTACTTCCTGTGCCAGGACCCCCGTGTCCTCCCCGTCAGAGTCACTTGCTCTTAAACCAGCGTGCTCTAAATACTCGCGACTGAAGCGGTATTTGTAAAGGTTGATTCTGGAGATAGTTCTAAGTTGCTCCCTAGTATCCACCTATAGAGAAAAAGTGACCTGTAAGTGAAGAGCTAGCTTCCATTCAACTTTATCGAAGCTATAATGTTCGTCAATGCTCGTGCTACAAAATCATGCAGAGTTATTTTTCTCTGATTTTGTCACGTATGCAAGCACTATAAAATCGCTCTCTCCTTGTTGAAGGTGTGCCATGACCAAATTTGAGTGCCTTGATTTCAGAAGAGCCTCTGGTGAATTTGGAGATAGGAAACCCAGATATCACCACGAGTTTCTCCATAGAAAAAAATTTTCAAAAGTGCAGAGGGTGATCTGGGATTGCTGTGGTTTTATGTAACTATGCTCTGTGATTGGTCTAAAAAACTCGCGCCACCCTCTCAACCAATCAGATGCAAAACTAAAAATAATCGAGACCTGGTCACTTGCATTTTCCCGCGCTTCAAGCAGTTAGCTTGTTTTCACTTTGAGTTCTCATTCGCTAATGATAATGTAAACCTGAGTTCTGACTGGTCGCTGGGATTACTTCGGTTTTAGCTTTTCGACACTAAATCGGAAACTGCCGTAATAAGCCCGAATTGACTTGCCATTTTTCTTAAACCGTCATTCGGCCAGAAAAAAGGCTATATTTGGGTAGGTTTTTGACTTTTCATTCACTCATGATCGGCCCCTAACCTGGCGAGACTAGTTATTTTTCTTCCACAAAAGGGTCTGCAACACTGAAAGTAAACAGACGAGTTTAAAATATGACACTTCACCTCCTCTATGCTCTCCTTGACTCTAATGTCCGATGGATGCACAAGGCGACCCGTGACCTTCAGATTCCCATGAATTGATAATGCTTCCTCTGGTCGGTCAGTGTTGATACCAACACGACCCTGAAACAACAAAAGTAAAACTTGGTCAGGTACTCAATGATTACAACAGCGACTCCAGCAAAGCTTACGTGCAACACCAAAACATCAGATTACAGAGAAATGCATTGGATTTCGGACGTTGCACATGCATAAAAAAGCGTCTTCGTCTACTGTTTCCAAAGAAAATTGCAACATTGAGCGTTGGTTTTTATGGATTGAGGAAAACTGAAACACTTGCAGAAAGGTCAAGAAGTAAAGATTATCTTAAAATGCCATATATTTTCCTTGAGCACGGCGGTCCAAAAATGACCTATTTCCGCAAGCCTTGGGGTGCTCTCAAAACAATAGGCAAATATATATATATATAGCACAAAAATGCTTTTTATTATCATACCATTCGGTAAACTGAGTCTGTGGTTTGCCCTCTTGACCAAACAACTTCCATGTCATTCTCAAACTGGCCAGGATTTGAAGCCTAGCGAAACATTAAAAACAAAGGAAAACAATCAGGACTTGTTAATTAGAAAGTTGACCACAGGAGCCTTCTAAGCACAAACAGTTAATCTGCACGCGGGAAGGTAGTAGATTATAGTAATAATAATACAATTAATTATGCGCCGCAGGCATACTGAATATTGTTCAATAATCCCCGAGATAAAGTAAATAATATCATTGTTTTAGCATAATTGCTCTAGTGCTTTTCTTGAAACCATTCTGTTATACTCAAATCGAGACAAGCATTCAGTTTTCACTAAAAATTTAACAGGTTTGTTTACCATAATTCAATCAGCAAAAACTTCATATCCTTCTTTTGAAAAGTGTTACACCAAACTTGGTAGTATCTTTTGCGCTCTTCGTAATTTACATTTCTACTATCACATTTATCAGTTCCTCGGTAACATTGATAAAACGTAAGGTAGCCACTTTGAAATTTGCGCCCCGCCATAATTATCTCGTGTGAGGTAAATTAAGGCAGGGGCGAGATATGACGCAATTCTCGACCAATCAGAGCGATCACATCTCTGTAATCACCACACCAATTATACTTATAATAAATAATAAATGAAAGACACTTTCTTACCCTAACAATGATTCTTTCCGACACATTTGCACACACTAAAAATTCCTTGTTTTTGGCATGAGCATACACAGCAACAACAAGCAGGAAGTATCTAAAAGACAACGTTATTAAACCCTTCAGCTCCAATGTGACCAAGATAGAATTTCTCCTTAAGGTATCAATACAATATCAAGCAGACAAGTGATGAGAAATGAGAAAGTACATGTATCAATAGGCCATTTTACAGTAGTGTACTTAGTTGCCAAGCCTTTGATTTGGAGTGAGGCTGAAGGTGACCATATTGTGATAGAGGCCAGTAACTAGTAAGCATGATTTGACAAGCAGCAACGTTTGTATCATGACAAGGTCACCCTTGGCAAAGGCTTGGCAACAAAGCATGCAACTGTAAAATGGACTATTAGAGGATCACTTTTTGATCCAATAATATATTCTCTGAACTAGCATCAAAAGAATTGTGTGACAAACAATAAGGAGAATTATTAGAGTAAAAGGGTTAACTATAACACAGCTGAGTACTGTAAATTGTGTGTTATACTTAGCTCATCAGTGGAAGAGATTCCTGCCCTTACCTCTGATCAGGATTTGGCTTTCCTTTCTTCCTCATATTGTTTGCTGTTGTTTCACTGCAAGAAAATTTGCTTGATTAATATCATCCACAAGTGAATTTTCATATATTTCCTAGTCTCACCTAACTAAAATAAATCATTTTGAAGTAATTTCCTTTTCATTTGATAAACATATAGCAAGAAATATTTCATATTTCAGTAGTACACCTTTTCTTGGATATTTCAGTTATCCAAAAATTTACAACTTGCCCTTTGTTTCTACGTTGAATTGAAATGATGTTAGTTTCTGTAAAAGTTCTGTAAAATACAACACTGCTTCATACACAATGTACATTTAAAAGAGGGAAGATCGTAAACTTCAGGAAAAAAATTCTCAGAGTGAGGACAAAACCCATGTGCAAAACTCAACCCACATGTGATGTCTGGTTTAAGAGTCAAACAATAAAACCAGTGGTGGAAGGTAAAGGCTCTCTGCAATATGCTACTTCTATCACACCAACAGATTACCGACAATCAGCCGACTGTTGGCCAACAGTTGGCTGCCTGTCAGTGGAAGGGAGCTGTTCTTTGCAATTACCCAAAGTTTTAGTAGATTCAGTGTCAGTTCATGATGATTGCATAAAAATAATACAACACAATACCTGAAATGCAGTCTTCCAACTGTAATCTTTGTTTGCTCTTTCGGTGAAATTTCAAATCTGAAAGTTAAAAGCATGAAGTGTTACAAAAATGTACATTGTGTACAAAGCAGTGTTGTATTTCCTCTCAAATCATAAAATATGTGTACTGTATACATTTTAAACTACTGTAGTGGGAGAGTAACACTTCATATAATCTTGCCTTTGCTTAAGGGGACATTGGTTTTGAGTTAAAATAAGTTGCATAGAATTTTGTAACTTCATAACAACTGCAATTATCTTTTAGCTTTCTCTTTGCTCATGTTGAGTCCTTGTGCACAGCTGTTCATATTTCCACAAGATGTGATGCAGATAAAATCACTTACTGCAGTGGTTCGTAGTGTCTCTTGCTTCTGTCAGCTTGAGATTGTTCAACACCAATTTGACTGGCTTTGGATTCCATCTAAATCAATGCAAACAAATGAGGGTTTAAAGTTATATGTAGATTTAATCATGGAACAACAAAATCCAGCACACTTGTATACCATGAACTTGTTTAAATTGTAATGATAAACCTTTTCTAATTGTAGGGGTAAAGTTCTTTGGTTGTCTGTGTGTTGCCCTTCAATAGCATGTTAACAACAATATTGTGGTTTAAAGGAACCCTTAAACCAACAGACAAAGCCTGAAGAAATTCATGCTTTGATAGGATTTTCAGCCTGTGCCTCTAAGATACCAGTTAGGCACCATACACAATTGAGCTACAAAGCCACAAGGTAAGGGCAAGGCAAATTTTAGTTGTGATTTCAAATGGCCATATCAGTAAGTTTTTGCATACTGGGCCAGCACTCTGCTTAAATATTAAGTACCAACTGACTGAGTGGGGAGACTGGGCAGGTTTCCCATTCAGCCCAACCTACTTCAGACAATAAGCAATCTATTAAAGACTCACTTCTCTTTCCCTTTTCTCTTTTCTTGTTACAAACTCTTCCATCCAGCATCTCAAAGAGTTGTACAAAGGGCCACATGTCTTTTGAGCCCTACTGGCTCTGTCACGTACAGTCCCCATATGAGGATTATTTTGTAACAATGTATTTGAATATAAGCATGTGCAGAGCCACACAGGTCAAATGATTCTTAGTTCTACTCAGCATACCTTAATTCCATAGATGTGTAGCCGAAACTTGTCAATACGTCTTAACTCTGTTTGCTGAAAAGAGAAAAATAAGTAGGGCAAGATTAAACTATACCTGCTTTGTCTTGGTAAACAAAGATCACAGATCAACAAAGAAATCTACAAACCTCTCCCTGGACATATTTGGGTGTTTGGGCAGATTGAAGGTTCATGAAAGCTGTTATCTGTGAATAAAGCATATGTCATAATTAAAAGCAATTTTTGATTCAAAGTTATTGTATCAACCACTGGTCAATTCAATTTTTTTTTTATAATTTTGTATTCAATTAACCAATAATGGTATTTATCAATTTTCACCCTCTGTAATCCTGTCACAGTTCTTTTTTTACCCAATAAATTGTACAGAAATACCATTTCCAGTTACAGTGGTGTACATATATCTCACCTTGTCTAAAACTCAATGTTCAAATTAAACTCAAAGTAAGGAAGATCTTAACTACAATCCAATCAATCATGCCTCCAGATACACTAATAAAAAGTTTGACCAAACAAGAGAGACAATGTGGAATTTGAAAATGATGAACAAGTCATTGAAACGTCATTTGAACTTATTATCGCTGATTTTTGCTTTTAAAAATCAATTATTGAATTGCATGAAATAACAGGTAGTTCTAATTGCTTCTCCCCCTTTCCCTTATTTTAAATGCCAGTCCATTGGCCAGTTTCCTTGAACAGTTTGCTTCACACTCCTGACCAGAGAGAGGCACTGTTACTCTTAAAGAACACAAACCCTGAGTAGGGTTAACCCTTTAACTCCCAGAAGTGATTAACAAGTGACTTCACCCTACAATATCCATGCACTATCCAGTAGACAGGTAATGAGAATACTCTAATGTATCAGGCAGAAGTTGTTGTCTTGATCTAACACCAAATTCTCGCAACTTATTTACAAGGAAGTGTGTAGCAGCAAGAGGGGAGAATTAACAATCAGATCTTGGGAGTTAAAGGGTTAAGACTCACAACTGTCTATTCACAGTCAAGTATTCTAACCCATCTTGCCTACAACATTTCTGTAAAGGACACTTATTAAGGCCTAAAAAAGCAAAGTATTATACAACATCACATACCTGGAGATGATTTTTCTTTTGACAAACAAATGCTTCATCCACAAAAGAGTAATTGAAACCTTTGTCAGCATCTACTCTAAACTGAGGTGGAGGACTGAATAACGAGAAATAAACTGCAGTTATAATCAAAACATCAACAGAAACACTTCATCTCTCAAAAACATCTTTTTAAGTCTCAGCAACATTTCATGTTTCAGCTGAATGCTATGTTTGTCAGTGAGGCATTTGAAACCAGATTAGGAAGAGGAGAGAGGGACAGACCTTGGTTTCTTCCCACAAAAACAAATAGCTCAAGGGGTCTCATTTGAAGATTAGAACTGCTTACAGCTGTAAAATGTTGCTTAAACCTAAAAAATGCTATAGACTATAATTTTTTAACTATTCAAATGAAAATGGACATCCAGAAATTTGTTCCACTCCTAGAATAGGTACCTTTAACCCTTTAAATCCCAGAATTGATCAGCATGTGACTTCTCCCTATTATATCCATACATCATCCAGCAAACAGGTGATAAGAATACTCAAACTTATCACGCATAAGTTGTTATCTTGATCCAACACCAAATTCTCACAAATATTTTACAAGGGAATGTGCAGCAACTACAGGGAAGAATTGACAATAACATCTTGGGAGTTAAAGGGTTGAGGGTTTTTTATCTGCCATACAAATAACATGATTTCGAGTGCAATTTGGTGTTGTCAAGCATGGGTAAAGTTTTCAAAGAAAACAAAATTGAACAAGTCTATAGGGCAAGTGCAATTAATAGTCTTTGAAAATTTTTCCAAGAGCTTATTATTTCAAATTGCAAGAGAAATCATGTCATTGCTTATTATGTACATGAAAAAACATCAGAGTCAAGACAATCAAAATTTTGAAAGCATACATGTGCTATTTGTAATTTGCACTCTTGTCAGCCAATCAGAATCCCATAACTTTTTCATGTACATTCTAACAAAAATAAAAACCACATACAATTATAATATCCAAAGATTTATTTAATACACTCAAATAAGGACTCACATCATTTGGGAAGAGTCGTCAAATATGCTGCAGCATTCATCGGTTTTGTACGGCGACCACTTTAAGCATTGGTAGTTTTCGAGCTCAGGAGTGGCAGTGGTGGTGAAGGGATCAGGAGAGTCAAGGCCCTCTGAACCACTCCCATCCAAACAGTAATCATCTAAAGCAGGAAGAATATAAAGAGATAGTCAAAGCTTTGTGGAAATGATTGATAAACTATCTATAAACACTTGTAAAAAGCACTTCTCAGTATTTACTGGTAAGGAGAGAAGGGATCGTTCAGTAGGTTGAGTTTATCTTTTCTCTTGTGGTTTTTCTACAGGTTTTTTCTAGATTTTTGTCACCTCACTTAAACAAACACTCGAAATCAAATACGACCCTGAGGCCCATTATTCAAAAGTTCCATTAACTTAACAGGATCAAATCCATATCTTGTACTCAACATTTGAAAATCAGAGAAGCAGGTTCTGGCACCCTAACCAGTCCATTTTCTTTTTTCTTCAGCAATAAGAATAGTCCATTATTCAGTTGCGTGCTTGGTTGCCAAGCCTTTGAACAGAAGTAAGGTATAGGTTGACCTTGTTTTGATACAAACATTGCTGCTTTTCAAATGTAAATTACTTTGTTATCATGCTAACTAGATACTTGTCTCTATCACAACAGAGTCACCTTCAGCCTCACTTCAAATCAAAGGCTTGGCAACTAAATACACAACTGTAAATTTGCCAATTAACTCTTTACACCCTTACATCAGTATGCATATTCTCCATACTGTTCTCTATACATTTCCAAAAGGTGCTAACAAGGGGAATTTGTTTAACAATCAAGAGCTTCTTTAGTGGGTGATCATTTCCTTTATTCTCATGACCCTAATGTGTGATTCAGAGGTGATATTGTGAGGAGAAATAAGATGCTGGCCACTCTTAGAGGTCAAAAGGTTAACACTGTAACTCCTAAGATCTGATTGTTCAGTCTCCCTTCTAGCTGCTACACATTTCCTTGTAAATCAGTTATGAGAACTCCGTGCTAGATCAAGATAGCAGCTTCAACCTGATAAGTTTGAATATTCTCATAACCTGTCTGCTGAATAACATATGGATATTACAGGGAGAAGTTTCATGCTAATCACTTGTGGGAGTTTAAGGGTTGATGGTCTTTCCTTGGTTACCTTCTCATTAAGGTTTCCTTGGCAGTTTGGTGAAACCAATAACACTCCAGCTATATTTATACACAAACACAGTGGAAACAATTTTAAAATCAATAGAGCATTGGTGCCTACAGAATATTTCAGTTATATGATAATTACCTGGCTCTGATTTCAAAGAATTAAGCCTGAGTGATGATATTCTGTTTGCTGTTAATGTTTCACTACTCTCTGAATCTCTTTTCCTCTTCCTTTTTGGTTCAGGGACATTGCTGCTGAATTAAAAGAGGGGAATCCTTTTGTATCGATGGATACATTGGGTGGATTAAGAGAATGCATCATATGGCAAGAAAAGGTGAGGTGACAAGGACAGATATGATATGATGGGAGGAACAAGTGGGATGAAATGGATGGATCAGATGAAAGGGAGAGTTGGGATGGAGTGAAGGAATGAATGGAATACGCTGAGATGGACAAGTAGGATAGAGGGAATAGATGAGATAGGTTAGGGAGGGAAGTATGGAAAGGATGAAGGAGTGGGATAGGTGGAAAGAAAGAACAAATGGGACTTGTGGGATAAATAAGACAGATGGGACGAATGAGATGTCATGAAAAGGTTTGAAGGAACACAAGCTTCTTTTGAGAATCATCTGCTTGTTCAACCATCTACACACAGGTATGTCTGTTACCTGATGGACTGTAAGGAGAATTCTTCTGAGCTACTTAAGGGACATCCTTGCTGTACCTGCCTTCCTCCAGAGTGGGAAATTGATGATAGCATGATGTGATGATTTCCAGGTGTATTAGGCAAAAGAACTATGGAGTGTTAAAAGTTATCAGATAACATTACATTCACAATTCATAACTAACATATCATTACTGGTGTAAAAATAAAGGAAAATCTGTCAAGATTGTTGTTCATTACAGAGACAGATTTTTTTTAACAATATAAGCAGAATTCTTCATCAGTCACCAAAAATAATGTACAGCAGGATACGCCGAAACTCTAAATATCTGAAAACAAATTTTGCACTAACATGCACATTAAAAGAGAAAGTGATTCTAAAAAGGAATTCCCTTACTCTGCCCAATCTGATTGAACCCCTTCACCCCAAAATCTCATTAGTAAATCTCCTTATTGTCTGCCATACAATTCTTACCATCTTTGTTCCGAAAATTTGGTATTGGATCAACTCATAATCCCTTTATTGTTATTTTTCTGTAGTCTTGTCATGTGCCTGCTTGATGTTGTATTGTTATTGTAAGGGGAAATTCTGTCTTGGTCACTCATAAAGGTTAAAGGGTTAAAAGTTTACCTTGGTTTGCATCTGGGGAGTCTGGTCCATCCGAATCTGGTGGGGTCATGGGAAAGTTCTTGCTTCGGTGCTGTCCTCCAAAATTGGGAATGTCAATTGGACTGTTTTTGATATAAAATGTTACAAATTAGAGCAAAATTCACCAGAAAACTTCCACTGATCTAAGCCAGATTTCATTATTTGGAATCTGGAATAACAGTGACCAATTCATTTCAGAAATCCAAGAACCAAGTTTTTTTAGCTTTCACTGGTTATCAAAACTGTTAACTTAATGGTTATCAGTTCAAAAGTTAAGACCTTTAGTTAAATGCTCACAAAATAACTGACCATTTATGTCCTTTCATGAACACAAATTTATAGCAAAAAGAACTTTAGGAGCAAACCTCCCAAATGTTTAAAGAATACTATGCAAATGTAATGTTACCATCATTAGTATGCTAGAAAAAAGGATGTGCCTTAGAAAAAAGAGAAAACAGCTTAATGATCTATTATTTTTTTTAACAACAAATATATTTTTTGTATAATTGTATTTGAACAAGTACTTACTGTCCAACTGATGTGCCTTGCCCTTCCAGAGGAAGGCCCAAGATTCCTGTAAGAAAAAAAATGACTTACTCTACAAATTACTTTTACAGGTGCTGTGATAGGCTGAAGCATAACAATTTTTAATAAGAAACCTGGAAAAATCTACATGTGTTTATCATCCTAGTCGCTTCTGTTTTCTTTGACTACTCTGAAATTGAAAGTGGACTAAGAATCAGATAACTTCAAATAGAAAATTGACATGAAAATATACCATTGCATTGCAGTCCTGGATTCAAAGACAGATTTGCAGTGAAGTCTGCTGAAAATCCAAAATTTAACTGCCCAGTCCCCTCCATGAACCTACAAATACAAATTTAAAACATTTAACATTATTTAGAACAAAACCCTGACAGAAAGTGAATAAAAAAAATGAACAAATTATTAACTTATGGAAATGGTTTCTTAGAGCTTTCACCCATAGGGTATGACCTGGAATGATTTACACCCATTCCCAACGGCAAAGTTTGGCTTTAGCTGCATACATAGATTTGACCTTAAACCTGTATTATGAATTCAGCATTAAAACTTAGTTGGAAAGAGTATTTGTTTTCTTACCTAAAAATTTTCCACATATAACATTCTATGACCTATGGGCTAACCTTTCAAAAACAGTCCACAGTGCTCTCAGCATCAGTTTTTGTCAAAGATATGCATACATGTAGTTAATCTGATGCTATGGATTAAATCCACAGAAATAAAAAAAGGAGCATCTGACTGTTACGAAAGGCAATCTTTCAGGATGAACATGATCAATGTGCATGTGCTTGAACATTCTTAAATTCATAAGCTTGCTAGCAAATTGCATGCAACTTTTCTGTATGCATGACTGACAATGTTGGATCAAAGAGTTGCATTTTGAGAATTCTATATGCACATTAGAACCACAGTGTTGTGTTTGGGTAGTGTTTTGGCAGCTTATTTTGCACTGGGTTTCTTTAACTGCTTACCACCATGATTACTGAGCTAAGTCAATAACCAAGTTATCATGATTTTCTAAAGAAGCTAATAACTAATTGGCTAAACCTCAATAATAAGGTATCAAACACAGGAAGGACAGGTCAAGTTTCTCTGAGAGGTATTAATTGGTATGCAGACATCACAAGTGATATTCACTGGTCCACTTCATACATACATGAGTGGCTTCTTCAAACATTATCATCCATAACAAAAAATTTTTGAGAGTGTTATAGAAAAACCTTGTACCTTCCTTGTACTCAAAAACAAGAGTCACTTTTGCATAGAAGAAGAACGTATTCAAGACTTGTCTTTATTAAATTTTTTCTCTCAGATTTGGTGTTCATTTGTCAAAGTGCTTCAGGGAGTAAAAATCTTACTGCTTGTCTTTGGTAGAATGCACACAAATGATGAACTATATCTGGAATGTTCTTTAGAAAGCATAAATAAATAAATATGGTTGTATCAAGCAATACTACTTGTGAAACTTCCAATACCTGAAATTTTACACAACTAAAATTAGAATCAAGAGCATACTCCCCTTCCTGAGATAATATTGGTTGTTCAAGCTTCAAGGTCAAAACGTATTTATTAACTGAACCTTGCTGTACCAGGTAGTTATCTACTCGGATGTACCAGTTACCAAAAGGGCCAAACAATATACATTAATATCTGTATTCTGTGTTCTGAAACAATACAATTAACGCCACCTTTAACAAGATACTTAAGCCAGTAAAAATTTTTAGGTAAATGAGTGTTGCAAATGCTGGGGGTTTGATCGTCTGAAAATGCATTTCACAAACAGTTTACCACAATATCAAGTTGATCAGGATAAGCACGAAGGATCTTGAACAATTTCATGATTTCAAGGTATCAAAAACAATAAAATATACAAATATAAAGTCATATATCTCTCTCATAAATTCACTGAGGACACAGTTTTGGTTTTTGCAGCTTTTGGTTTAAGCTGCAAGTTGCACATTAATTCTTCACCAGTCCAGCATTTGAATAAACTCTTCCTATAAACCTCTAGCAACACCGTATTTCAAGATACTTGAAATAAACAGGTTAAAACAAGTTTAGGAAAAATATCTTGATGTAGAAATAAACATTTGAAGGAAATAGATATGTGAGTATTTTATCAACTAAAATATAATCTGCAACACTATCCTTTGATCTTGTCTTGAAAAAAGGGTACACCTGCCATACTTCAAGACAGCTTTTTTAGATAAATGTGATATTATTATCCTCTGGCTTGACAGTTCCGCAATTCCTGTCAGAGAAACTCTATACTTGTGTGAAAGCCAAACTACATAAACATCCTCCAAAGTAAAAAAGCATCGCAAAGACGTAACATTTATAATACGAGACAATCCAAATATTTTACTTTCACTTGCAAAGAACGTGGATGGCTCTTACAAGTTCGCTTCACTCTGCCAATTTTTCTTTTACAGTCTTTGCAATATCGTGCAATATAATCTAATCATTTGAGCTCAAGCTGTCCGATTGCAACTATGCTCAGTCACGTAATGTTCTTTTCTCATTTCATATCAATATTATTATAAAAGAATGCAGCTTTATAAATCTCATAATCAACAAAAGTAAACAGACTTTGTTTGATATAGATTTCAATGCTTTAGGGGTATGATTATAAACACAAAAACTACGTGGGGCCACAAGGAATTCGGAGGAAAGTCCACGACACAAAGCGACTTAAACGCAATTCTTTACGGAATGACAAGGAATAAGTAAACAAAACACCACTATATCGCTGTATCTTGTTACATACATCCTGCTAACATATCTGCAAAGGTCTCTCTAAGTTATATCAGCTGTCTTAAGGTATTTTCTGTGTAAACTTCTAAAAACAAAAGTGCCGATTTGAACTCTAAAAGCCAATGCTCAAACGCGTTTAAACGAGAAGTCACGCAAAACGATGAATAAAAATAGAAATATTTCAGATTTTTAAAAGTAATCCTTATTGAAATGCTACCTTTATAAAGGATTTTTCCAAAAGAAGCAAAAATCGCTCAAAACAATGGCCAAAAACAACCAAAGGTTGACATAATCGTGAAAAACAATACCCTTTTGTAAACAAGTGAAGTGCGCGCAATGAAAAAATTGCCAAACTAATCGAAGACTAATGATTAACTCAATTGACTTATTGCTTTAATTATCGAACTCGATATGCCACAGAAAGGCGTAAACAGCCAAGAATTATCGAAAAAATAACAAGGAAAGATAATAGTCTGAAACGAAAATTGCAAATTTCGTAAGAGTGAATCACAAGTTGGTGATTTCAGTGTTGAAGTAACACCGAGAGAGTACGTGTTCAGCAGCGTTTTCTTAAAGTGTTTGTTCAAGCACCAAAATAATTATTCTCGATTAATCATTTTTGTATTTTTAACCTTTTCAATGAGCGACAACTTAATATTTCCTCTTCTTATAAGGTTATTACAGTTTTAAAAGCCTTGCATTCACATAACGTTAAGACTGAAAACAAACAGCTCCATGTGCGCGCAAAATCGAACGCTCCAGGCACAGTCCAAGAGTAATTAGTTCGCCGCATGGATTGGAAGCAACGAGAAGGTTCAGAAAAACCGCAATCAAAAAGACAAACATAACAGGTATGCGGACGTTCTTCCACTTCGCGAGGAACAACATACTGAAAATAAATTTGCCCGGGCATATAAGCTGGTTGGAACACAATAATAAACCACTTCTGCACCAAGTTCAAACACTGCAGTTAAGTCCACAATAGACTGCATACCAAACAATTCCTTCACTTTTCATTACGAAGGTTGAAATAAAAATACTTTTTTCTAGATCTACAATGTCTGCTAACGGTTCTTTGTATTTATATTTTTATTATATCTATATAAATTTGAGAGAGAGCAGATCAGAAGGTCATCTTAAAACTTCAATTAATGCTGAGTTAGGCCAAACGTATTACACCTAATTAACCTTAAGATTCCATAATAATTTCCTCCTAGATCCACTAATTTCACAACTCTTCCGTAGAAAAAAATACCTATGACGTGAAATTGAAAACTTATTTCTGATCAGACGCGTATAAAATCTATCTCTGGCGGTTTCTGAAGGCAGAGAGCGGGCTTCAATTCAGATTTGGTATTGCTACATGTCTGAGTTACACATACTAACTTTGCCAAAACAGCTTAAGCAGCTTTCAACAAAAACTTAAATGTCAAAGGGTTAGGCATGTCTCAACCCGACAGAGATTTTAAGCGGGATATTAAGTTCCCTTTGAGCTAAACACACCGAGTATCAGGTACTTGCGTAAAACTGTAAATCACGATGTCGCAAAATATTAACACCTTACCCGTCCGCCATGACTTTCTCGTCAGAGGACAAACATTCATACAAGTTTGAGAAGAGAAATCCATCGGGATCCAACTCTGCAATCGTAAAAAAAGCAGAACTACGTTCAATAAAATACTTTCCCAGGTTGAAATAATACACCTTGCGGTCCATTAAGTGACAGTATCAACTACAACAACGCTTCGATAAAATTTTCGTCCAACGGACCTAATGTTGATTGCAAGCTTGGATCGTCTGTGTGATTCATAGCTCGCTGAGACTAAGCCGTCAAATCAAGGGCAACCAGCCTCCGCTTCACGCTTGATGAGTCATTTTCAAACCGATAAGTCAACAGAATTAACAACGTGAGCGAAAACTCAAAGGCCGCTTCGAAGTTTGTGTGTCCTGGGACTCACTTGTAATACTACCTAAGGACCGCCGATGGCACGTGACTCGGTAGTGTTGTGCACTGTCATCCCTGATCTTTTCTCAAATTACATCTCCAACAAGTGTATTGCACCTCTATTCTGGTTGCGCAATATCGTAAACAGATATAGGCTATCATTCGTTCAAATCAATCGCAAAATATTCTTCCAGAAAACTTCCTAGGTTTTGGTTAAAGGCTGCAACGACGCTGGCGGGTTGAACACGTGGTGCTTCGATCAACCGCCCATTGCGTGCCACAGATGTAGTTTTTCGCGCGCATACACCAAGACTCAAATTTCAGACCAATTTTTCACACTTTATACCCTCAGTAAAACTGCTGATCTAAAAAGGAAGGTGAAACGAAAAAAAGGAGAAAAAATTCATAGCAGCAATAAAAAACAAAATTCTTTCACTGTACCTGGTGAAAATGTGTTCAATGTTGTTTCGAAGATTTCTTGAACAGTTGTTATGTAAAAAGATCTCTCTTTAGTTGCCCTATCTTTGATTTTATGCTCACAACTATGACCCTATTTATATGATAATCTTAAGTCAAACCCTGATGAGGTCATCCAACTCAAACATGAATTGAAAAACAACAAAAAAAATAGAAATAATGGCAACTATCTGAACACGAAAGAAAGGATTAGCTGCAAACTACTAACTGATCCGAAATTGTAACGCATAAATAATTTATGGGGGCAGCATTGACTGAAGGTCTTGACAAATCTATACTTGTGTTTAGGAGAGATAACGGATTAAACAAAGGACAGCGTTTAATGGCAAAGGGAATGGTGAATATTACCTTCGAGATATCGCGAGAAGACGCCTCTTATATCTTCTGTGCGACCACCGCTTCCATTCATGCTAACGAAATCAAGACTCTGAAGTAACTACGCTTGTAAAAACGTGGTTGGAAAACCATAGAAAATCTTATGAAATGGAAACTTTGCGAGACGCGTCCCATAAGAATTTGTCTCCTATCGTCCCAAAGGGCTCATATCTGTCCTTCGATAAATGCAGATAAGCAACGCACAACAAATATCTTTAATTCCATTTTGTGTATGTGACCGAAGAGGCAGAGGAGAGGGTGCGTTGATTAGCCAACAATATAAAAAGTCAGTGATTTGCTGAGGGGGTCAGCGAGACTAACATTTTGTTAGAGAAGAAAACTAACAATCGATTTACATTTCCCCTCTTACAGTATTTGCATTTTATGCATTACTTTTTAATAACCACTGGTATACAGGAAGTGTTTTTCTAGTGTTTAGTGGGTATCGAGACTTCCTTTGAGATAGAGTTGGGTAAACATTGGTCATTTTCGCGAAAGTTCTTTAAATGTTTTCCTGCCGTATTTCTGTTTTGGCAGACCACTTGACTATCACGTGTACAGTGCCCTATCATAAGAAGGTCGAGCTTTGTTCTAGGCCGAACCCACGCACCGTATCAAGAGCTAAAAGTTCCTTATTAAGAATAACGAGGACTTTAAAGGAGCTACCAACGTCATAATATTGCGACTTGTTTCGCTATAACATACTAAATTGCCGTCAACGTAAAGATATACTTGAAAACACTAAGGGAGAAAATGGAAAAAGATCAAATTGGGCTTACTCTCTTTACAAGACCTATTTCGTTCACGAGTGACGCAATGAAAGTAAAGCAAAACAGTCCAAGCATTAGAACCAATGATTATGATGGCAACAGAAAAATAGAAAACTTCTGAGGCTCTTACACCGAAGTATATCCCCAAAGAGAGCAGAATGAAAGCAGGAATCGGAAGGGTGAAGCTAATAATTAAGTCAGCGCTCTTCGGGGATATCACGAAACCCTCCCACGAAAAACTCTTGACATCCCAGAAAACGGTCGCAAGGAGACTAGAAATGAAGTTATCAATCTTTTGACCCTATTTAATGACTCGCATCAAATTTCTCCTCGCAATGTAGCCACTGAATCACACATTAAGGTTGAGGACAAAGACCACCAACTAAAGAGGCTCTTAATGTTAAAAAAAAAATTCTCCTTGTCAGCACTTTAAGAAAGGCAAAGAGAATGGTATGAAGATTATGCATAATGATGTTAGCCTGTAAAGGGTCAACAGATGGTATTGTAAATATTGAATTTGAAACGTAATTTTTTCCTAGAGAGATTAGCTGTCAATATATTTTGGGTCTCCAGGACCGCTTAGATCGTCTGACGAGCCACGAGTGAATAAGGGTCTGAAATAGAAACCATAATACTTTAGTACCCAATCATCATTCGACTTGAAACGTTTCATCACAATTTGCCCAAGCTCGCCAAATGAACCCTTGTGAAAATGTAATTAGCTAATATGTTTACGTGCCACTATGGCCGAAATATGAGGATTTGTATGGGAATAAACGGTCGCATTCACAACCAAAAAAATCTTTACTAGTCTAGAATAAAAACAAACTTACCTCGCTTAAGAAGTTGCTCCTTGGTTCCATCTGAATTTTCTGGGCTGAGTGAAGGCTGTTTATCACGGTGTTAGTTCATCTGGTTTAATTTGCATATTTTGCGAGCTTGGGCTACCTGTGGTTTCTCACGTCAACACGAGTTCTTGGGGCAAATTGAAGGGTTTTACGCCAAGATAATTAACCGTGTAAATAACAGGCGCAAAGCGGCGTCTTATTAAAATCGGCACTCATACATTATAAGTTGAATATGACAACAAGAGACGAAAATAGTAACGTTCTTTTAGCTTTTTTAATCTGTATGTACAAGCACTCTATTCAACTGTACAAGATATGTTACTTTCTCATCACAAAAAAACTACCACACTTCTATCCAGTGAGAATTGCCCCTTGTTAGATACAACAAGCGAGGATTGACATCTCTATCAACCACAAAGTGCACCCGTGACTGTGGATCAGAAAGAGTGATGATTTCTGAAATATTTAGTAAAGCGACTTCGTTTATGAACACCATTGTGATCTCAATTATTTCCTGTTCAACGCATGGCTCAATTTCCTCCGTTTTCCCGATTACGGTCGGCAATTCTCCCGAGAAGGACTTCGGTAGGGTAAACGCAGACTCGTTTCCCGAACAACGGCTAGTAATGGAACACACCTGTTTCATAATACCTTTTCTGGTAATTTTCCTCAGAGATTTATTTTACGAGATCACAAGATGCAATTTATACTCCCTTAGAAAGCAAAGAATAATTTACGTGGTACGAAAATAATGCAATGATTACCATTTTCAGTACTGTACAAATATAAACCTTTGCTTTCTGCACATTCGAGAAGAATTAAACGAAGAATTTGCATTTCTTCATTTGCGGCAACAGGAACACCGCTGAACTAAAAAAAAAAACAACAACAACGAAGGAACACAACTCGACGTAAGATTTACTCTGAACACATTTAGTTCAACTTAAGACACTCATTTTTTTTCAACGGTGTTGTTAAGCGCCACCATAACAAAGACGACAACCAAAAGTGCTTTGACCAAAGTACCATGACATCTTACATACTAGTTCACGGCTTGTGATGGGATGTAAGGCCCAGAATTGAGGAAATTTAAAACCCGAATTTTAACCGATGAGAAGACGTTGACGGACTTTCAGAGAGAAAATGGAAAACCAATTGCATGTACTGCAGTACCACATTGTCATTCAACGCTTCTCATTGTTAACCAATGAGAAGCCGTTCACAGCTCGTTCAGAGCATACCGCTGAGAGAGCAAACGTTTAACCCAATTGCAGTTTTTTGCCATTCCGAGGTGTCTTGGTTGCTACTTAATTCTACACAGACAAGTTGGCACCGCTGCTCCATTTACGCATGTTGGAATTATTTTCAGTATTTGTTTTGTCGGTTACGATGAACCACACAATTATACATATCAGTTCCTTGAGTTATTCTTGATGCGCTCGAGTCTTTTCTTGATGTCCAATATGCTATCTGGATCTGCTGTTATCGAATCAGTGGTATCCGTAGACTGTGAAATAACTGAGGGCTGCAAAAAATTAATAAATAAATATACATAAAAGAAGAAATAAATTATTGAATTAATGAGCGAGTGCGTGTGCGAGTGCGTGTGCGTGTGCGAGTGCGAGTGCGTGCGGGAGTGCAAGTGGAACGTGAGCGCGAGTTTCTATCGAGGGTCTGGCGTAGGCTTCATTGAATTTATTAAGATAAAAATTCAATCGCACCATATGACTTACAATGTTTATGTAGGATGGTTTCTTATCAGCTGCACTCAGTGATCGTTCGTCAGTGGACGGTTCCTCGTACTCTGGTACACGCTGGTCTCCTGATTCCGCTTTCTAAATAGTGAAACGCAGTGTAAGACATAATGTCAACGAACTGTGCCGAAAGCCGTACAGTATAAAGAGATGCGTCTACAAACCTTTGATGCAGTGTTCGACTGATTATCCAGGCCAGCTCTCATTCTTAGAACCTTCAGTCTGTCTCTGTAGGCATCGGCATCGTCTTCGGATGAAAAACAGAAACATTCAAACGAATAACAAAAATTCAAAAGTGTATTCTCGTCTCATGTAAAAAAAACTATGTATAGATGTGAAATTTCGAATGACATTGTTGCTAAATCAACTTGGATAAGAGGATAAAACCTAAGATGCACATAGATTCAAATGGACCGTTCTATGAAAGTGCAAAAAAAACGAGGAACACCACAACAAAATTTAACTTACTTCATTCATCTATTTGTTTGTTTATTTATTTATTCGACGTAGAGGCTCAAAACATTTAAAATATCAATCTTAAGACGAGAGCATTCCTTTATCTTCTCCCTAAAATATCCATACACTATCCAGCAAAAAGTTAACGAGAATACTCAAACTTATCAGGAAGAAGTTGTTATCTTGATCTAACACCAAAGTCTCGTAACTAATTTACAAGGAAATGTGTAGCAGTTAAAGGGTAGAATTGACAACCAGAACGCTAGCTCAAGGGTTAAACGAAATATAGAAGTAGATCAGCATATCTTTTTTTTTTACCGGTGCTTTCTTCTTCCGTTGAATTCGATGAGCTGAGCGCTGTCGTCGATATTCCAGACGAGGGAGCTGTCCCTGCAAAAAATAAGTGTGAATGAATGGTGCACTCAACTCCGATTATCAGCTCATATTCCATTATCATATTCCGAGTCGCTTTATATGGAAATGCATTGCACTAGCTGTTGCTGAAAAAAGGCTCGAAATATCCAAACGTCCAGGAGTTAATAAAATTTAATGAAACAATTATTCCATTTGCACTTTTTTGATACCAGATTGGTTATAGCCAACTAATATTCAACACGCTCTTGTGGAATACTTGTTACATATTCTTGTTAAATTACTGTGAAAAGGAATTCTGTAAAGGTCACTACCAAATTGATTGACGTTGGTCCAAAACCAAAAGAATATCAAGTTTACGATCAGAACGAAGTTAAAGAGCGAAGTTAAAGTGTCTGACTGGTTGGTCGAGAGGGGAGCCACGTTTCCTGGATCAATCACAGAGCACGGGGAAGCTGATCCAATGCAATCCCGACGTCCAATTGGAAAATGCTTAAGTCTGTGAGAGAAGGCGCCGCAGGAAAACAAGGGAAAGATGAAAAATGAATTTTCCTGGATCAATCACAGAGCGCGGGGAAGCTGATCCAATGCAATCCTGACGTCCAATTGGAAAATGCTTAAGTCTGTGAGAGAAGGCGCCGCAGGAAAACAAGGGAAAGATAAAAAATGAATTTTCCTTGGACTTCCGTGAAAGCCCTTCTCTAGGACAAGCCTTGGTTCTTTCGAAATTATTAAAAATTGGGGTTCTCCGCTCAATAAATGTATGATCCGTTGGTTTGCATTGTTCAGATCCACAGATAACAAGTACTCGATAAAAATTTTACGGTACTGTACCTGACACTTTCCTTCCTTTTCTCTCCATCTCGATATTCTTTAGTCCTCTTTCAATGTAACTCTGGAAGAACTCGGAGGTTCGCTTCAAAAATGGATCAATGTCTGCCTCAGGGTATTTTTGTTTGAAGTCATAGAGTTCAGCCAAGCCCTAAAAAGACGGGAAAAAAAGATTTAATTCCATACGCAGAAAGATTCGTGCAGCTCTATGCCGCTCCCTACGATTTTTAAAACTTTGCAAAAAGTGATTTCTTGACGTACTTGGTGTCACTGAATAAAATCCGACAGAAAACGTCCAGCCTAATATTATGTTCAACTGTAACAGAGCGAATTATCAGAGTTTTAGGCTGTTATGACCAGGAAGCCACCCTACTATTTTGACATTTTTG